TTTTTTGATCAAACAAAAATGCTTGCAAATTTAACACGAGGTTCATATATGTTGTAATTAACGGTAAACAATAAAAGTGAGCGTACTGTAGTAGTTTTTTATTTTTATAATCGTTAATATTAAATTGTAAATATTACGGCCTTTCAAATTATATTTGACCAAAATTCACTATGAATTGTTTGTCGTTAGTTCTATGGTTGCTTAAAGATATAAATTACATAACTTTATGTATCCTACCTTCCCATCTTCCTAGCTACTACAGCGGCATACCCGTCTCCAGTTTAAGGTCTCTTTTTATTTGCTTATAGTTTCATTTTACATATTATAGCAATGTAATTCAATAGGCCAAGATCGCGGTGAGTATTGGAATTAAATTTGAAACTGTAATAATAATAATTTCCATCAAGATTTAACGGCTGCCCTCTCAGTATTTTTACTGTCTGTTCAACTGCAATATAAGAGACTGTTCTATAGTTCTATGAAACTTTTATGAAAATAGCTATATATAGTGAGCAACCCTCGATAAGAAACTCATTATCCCGAAAAATATTTACTTTTATCGGAACTTTTTTTTACAATTTAAAAAACAAGGAACTCTAAAATATTATACCACTATTATTATATATACATATATCGCCTTTAGTTTTTGGATGGAAACCAACAATAATTTTTGGTTATCACATAGCTGCTTATATTAAAAACTAGCTGTCCCGCGCCTGGCATTGCGCGTGCCGATTTTTATTGTTATTATTTTACCCATATTCATTTTTGGTTTTGGCCGTGTCAGAATTAAATGAAAACAAATATGTGGAAAGTGAGAAGTCCACTTTGGGTGGACTAAATGTGTTCTATTGTGAAATTTAAAAAGTGCAAATAATAGTAATAATGATTGTTCTTATTGTAATAGTTTTCTTTTCCGTAGGTAACCCCTGAATAAAAAAAATTGATAGTCTTGTTGGCTGCTAATTTAGATCCTCTGTTTGAGCGTCCATATTTTTTTGTACCGTCCTCTATTTCTAAATAAAATCACAAAACTGTTATATTTACCCAGTAATAAACAATATATTGTAATAAGCTTACAATAAAATAGCCTTCATACAATGAACAACTACACAATCGAGAGTCCAATTGTGTAATGAAATAAACTAAATAGCTAAAATAATATATTATTAAAACAAATAAATTCAAGTTTAAGAAATTCACTCACACATTAGCAATAGAACGAATGTCTGCTACCAGTTTAGAGTTTAATTTCTTGGTAATTTCAAGGTTTTTTACACGGTTGGAACTGGTATGTTTGAAAGAGTACCATTATATTATATAGATAATATCTGATATAACTTAGATGTTCTTTTTTTAGTATGTTAATATGCCTCAAATGTATAACGTGTTATAAAAATATAAGCGTTTATATATATTTTTTAGATGTTTTTTTTCTGATAATATTACTCGTGTTACGTCCTCCAGTTGGAAGATCTCAGGTGACCTTATAAATTGTTATTTATCCGATTGTAAAGTTGATTGCTCCGTTACGAGATACTTTTATCTAGCTATTGTATTTCGAAATAAAAATCCGTCATATTAAGCTTGCATTTTTTTTTTCTGCAGTGTGGATAACACTATTTAGGACGTTTTTAATAGTTATTAAAACGCTAATCATTATTTCGAATACATATATCAATGCAGTTATCACCGAAAACAATGTACAGTACATCAAACAAATATATACACACGACATCACGCTGAATATCCAAATAATACTTTTATTTTTTAGATTTTGAACGCAGCAAGGAATCGATTGGGTTTTCTTTTTCTGTTACTAACTTTTCTTCCAGAAATCTTGCTCCAATAAAAAAAGACAAGAAAGATTTTTTTAAACAATATTTTCTTGTGGTTTTTTCAATAACTGAAGAAAAACAAAGAATAACTAGAAAGTTTTTGGAAATAACGGTGTCTCGAATTTGAATTTGTTTTATTGTAATTCGGTTAAAAATAATTGTAGAGTCTTGATTATTAAACTATTTATAAGCCTTTGATATTTTAGAGTTTTCAATAAATTTAGATATTATTTGGTTTTATGTGGATAAAATTGTTTTAGCCAAGCAGTATTGATTGATATTTTTACAAAAGCTAGTGGTAGATTTAGAAGGAGGGCGATAGGGGTGATCGTTTCTACCTCCCATTCACTTTCCAACATACTCTTAGCTTGATTCAATATTAAGCTCGTAATAAACGCGTGCTTTATATGCATTTTTGAAATCACCCCCCCCCTTATCTTGTTTTGACAAGAGGTTTATTATAAGTTGCACTTAACGGTAAAAATAGTTTAGGTTCATTTAGTAGGTTTTTTTATAAGTGCGTTTTTTAAAGTTCAAATTATTATAGAAATCGTAAAAATCACATAATTTCGGGAACTGTTTTTCGATATTTTTAAATGCAATTTTTCAACCAAGCCAAAATGTTTAAACATTTAACATAATGTTATGGTTTAACATCAGAACATCATAACATCAAAGGTGGTTTTTGATCATTTTTTACATTAAAAATTCTATCAACGTTTTACATACCTAGAAACAGATTTCCCATACATTAACTATTTGACCAAAAATATTTGTACTTAGCCACGGATCTGGAATATTATAAGAACTGCAGTAAAATAATAATTCACCCACTACCAATTTTAATTTTGAATGCAAATTTGAATATTTTTCGGTCATTTTATCATGAGTTAAAGTATCATTTTGCACAAACCATGTAACTCGATACCAGCAGCAGTGTCCACCACCATTACCCTACCTACATAGTGTCTAACTATTTGTGTAATAGTTTATTACTAACTTATTTAATATGATCATGACCACGGTTACCTATATAACCTTGATCATAAATATTACTGATATTCATATTGTGGTTAATTGTTAGAAATTGTTTAACCAAACAATTTCTAAAAAAAATGCATGTCTCCTTCTTAGCGTGCTGGTCAATAGAATTTAAATTTTAGATTACATTATTTTTCCAGAAATCATTGCGTTATCTATTGGTTATCTTTTAATCGATCTCTTAACCAATTTAAGCAAAATAATTTAAAAGATATTTACCATCTGGATACTATTAATTTGTATGGGTGAGATAGAGGAAATAAAATGGGCTCATGATAATTTATTTTTGCCCACGGGCCTCCTTAAATAAAAAAAAACTGTAGTATTATATAGCATTGAACTTCGTATTTAATAATACAGTACACTGATATGTGATCTTCAATGATAATTTGCAGACAGAAGATCAATACATAAATTGTTTTCCATCACGTTAAATTTTTCTATTTTATATTATTTCTATCTAATTTATTCATTTTATCCCCATTTGGGTTTTTTTCATTTTTTTTATTTTAATTAATTCCTTTATTTATTCGAAGTTTTATTGAATATCTATTTAAATAACAGTGGAAACTTAAAAATATGTATTACCTATCGAACTATATTGTTGTATAAAATTGTATACAATAGCTTCAGTTCATTAACGTACTAAGCCTCAATTATCCATATCTCAAATAATGGCATTAATAGCAACCATACATCATAAAATTCTATTCATAAACGGAATAAACAATTTGTTATTAATATTCAACAGACGATAACACCTGAACCCTCAATACATTATAAAGTTAAATATAATTTTTATTTACAAGATTAGTGGTAGATAATGGCTTCATAAAGGCTTTACATGACTTTATTAATGTTAATAAGTGTTATTGTATGTTAATGTAACATTAGCAAACAAAAAAAACAATTTTATATTTTTTTCAACGAATGCGTTATTACAGTTCCTATTATGGTATGATAATAATTATGTACTGTAGATAAAATTCATCCCAAGTACACACAAAAATGTTATAATTTCTAGATATCTATTGAAATAACAAATTATTATCGTCTAATGTCAGTTAGATCGGTCTGAAATCTAAAAAAAATACGAAATATTAACAGTATGTACAACATTTTGTTTGCGAAAGTTCCAAAAAAAAAAAAAAATATAAAATGTCAAATGCCTTTAAATAACTCAAAAATAGACTGAATGTTTTGAATAATTTACTACGTCTAAAAAAAAAGCAAAACATATTAACTCCAAAGTAATAAAACCATAATTTTTTCCGTTTTCCACCGTTTTTCTCAGTTATTAAAAAAACTAAAATTAAAATCAAAAACTAAGTGACTAACATAAAAGATACTGCACTTGAAATTCGGAAAAGATTTCTGGTAGAAAACAAAATCTAATATATTTCTGATAGAATAGTTGGTAACAGACAGAAAAAAAAAAACACATCATAGTATAACCGATTTATTCTTCGCTGTGCTCAGAAACTAAAAACAGGTAGGTACATAAAATTAAGGGGTCCGGGTGAATTCACCATGTTGACACGCGTGTTCGTTTGATTTATAGTTGGATTATTAGATTTACAAGCAGTAACCTTTAACGATCCGTAGTGTTAATATAACTCATAAATACCGTGGAATCCTAAACGGTAAGTATGGTAGTTTTCGTTCGATTTTACAATGGTATAACGACCGACGCGGCGTGCACATTGCTATTGGCTGTCTTATTTCGCATACCCACCGGTTATGATTAAAATGGCACATACAATGGATTAAACCAGTGGTGATCAACCTTTTTTCGCAGAGGACAATAAAAAAAATAATAATAATTCCCGGCGGGCCAAGAATTTAAACTTACTTTTATGTTAGTAGCGAATATTAAATTGTATTATTAGATCTTAATATAGGTGGTACAATGATGTACTTAATTATGTATTATATATTGATCGTTATAACTCAGAAAAAAAATATAAAGTATAAACATATATCTAATTTTAATGTGGAGGTTAATTTTTGAAATTTGAAGTTATTTTATTTTCAATTGTGATTTAATACTTTGGTAGGCCGATTAATGAATTATCGCGGCCGTAGTTGGTCACCACTGGATTAAACACAACAATACATATTACGCGAACTCCGTCAGCCGTGTCGTATCTTTGAGGTCGACCGCGGGAATCGAAATGCAGATATCAACCTTGGACTTGTCTTAACAGCCAATATCATACAACACGTTATTATTGTAATACGGGCACCTGTAGGTCACGTCTAAATAGATAATATCCAGTATCCACCCTAGAACGAACATTTCACGCCGCTTCTCGGACACCGACGGAAGTATAATAACTTAATTATTATTTGTATTAAAATTTGCCGTTTCTATTTTATTTTATTTTTTTCTATGTTGTTGTTTGTCGCCCCGAAAAAACGTATTACCTTCGATAAGGAAGTGACAACACGCGGACCGTGCAATCGCGGGATAACATTATTATAATATCGGCACCAAAGAGCTGTCCGGTCTCCGTCACTTGACTACCATAAAATGACGGGACGACGATCGTTTCATGAAGGTAGGTTCAAACCGTTATTATTATCGCGGCGGTTTGTCCTCTCCGTGAGTATTTGTCTAATATTATCGAACTGCATTGGCGACGATATTAATTGATCGCGTTTTTGTACCAATATAATATTATTATGTGAAAATAATAGCTACTGGTATGGCGGTAATTTTGTGGTGTATTACAATTTCGTCGACTTTGCAAAGGGACTTTCTAATACCGAGATGGATGCTTCACGTGCCCGACGATAACATGACCGGCGTACCGATATCCGTGTTACAACTAGAAAAAAACGTATTACAACCCGCGAAATTGAATTTGCAAAATATGTTCAGCTTTCAGCAACAATTGGAAAAATCTCGATCATTACAGGTTTGTATAGCAACAGTATTCAAAAATAGTATAATAATAATCTTGATGTCTATATGTATACTTAAATTTAATTTTATGGTGTTTTCGGATAACACTATAGAAAACTCAGGTACAGGTGTCGAATTCGACAGAATTCTTTTGCAATACAAACGGTACGAGATCGTCAACGCGGCCGACAAGCGTACACAAATTAAGACCAGGAGACATAGATATAATCGGAAGTATCGGCGATTCATTAACAGCGGGCACTGGGAGCTTAGCTTATAGTATTCAATTAATTTTCGTGGATTTCCGTGGAACGTCGTGGACAGGCGGTATGGTATTATTTAACTGGCATCTAAATTCAAAGGATCTGCACTTTGATGACAGTTTATTGTACTAAAATAAGGAAACTAGCTTTGTAATATGCGGTCCGTATATTGTGGTGTACCGTGCCCGACGATCACGCATGAACGATAATTTCAAACGATAAAACCCATAGCGCATGATGTTAACAAGTATGAGGATATTCTCTAACGAAAAAATACGACACTATAATCTTATCTATATGGAATTCCACGGTTTTTAATTTTCATGAACTACTCGTATGTTTTGAATCAGAAATATTGCTCCAATAGATAAACAACAAGAAACCTTTTTTTTTTTACATTTTTATTTTAGTTAGTGACCAAGAAAGTCTTCAACTATTTATAGACATTTTAATTTTACAAGTTTTGTACGTAATTATTATTCGGTATGTACTCTGTAGATACAATTATTAGACTAATTAGAAATGTTTGAAAGTTTAACAGAAGATTCATTATAAGTCGTACTTAGTGGTAAAATATTTAGTGTAATATATATATTTTTTTTTTTTTTTTTTGGTTAATATCAAATTTTGATGAAAATCGTAAATATTACGGCCTTTCAAAACATGTAGAACCGAACCTAACTCTGAATAGTTTTTCATTAACAATAGTTTATCGACGTATGCAGATATAAATTAATTAACTTAATGTATGTTACCATCACAACTTCCAACCTAAAACAATGGCACACATACCCGCATATCACCTCTTTTGTTTTTGTTAATACAATATTTATTTACACTTGAATTTAATGATGAGCAGGTGGACAAAATACGTGGAGAGAATTTTTAACGATACCAAATATTTTGAAAGTCTTCAATCCGAAATTGTTCGGTTATGCGCGTGGAAATTCAGTAACCTTACAAAAAGACTCTCAATTTAACGTCGCCGAAGTCGGTGCCGTGAGTAGAGACTTGTTGTTTATGACAAGAGAATTGGTGAAACGAATCAAAATGGATAAAAGGGTTAATCTAAACGAAGACTGGAAGGTAAAACAAAAATGTGTTTGCATATAATAATAAAAATAGTTTATTTTAAAAGCGTATAGCACTTTTTAAGTGTATTATAAATTTCACTGTAACACTGAAATTATTCGGATGCATGAATGATTGGCAATGTATATGGTATACCAGTAGTCTTGATTAGTCGATTATAATGGTATAAATTCTATGAATTTCAAAAAATGTCAAACATATACAAACAAATTACGGATTAAAAGGCGGCAGTATTGGAAAACCTAAAATCCTAAAAGGGTGCCAGTATAACCATACGTTGCTTATTGTGCCTTTAAAGACATATAATATTTAATTAGAAAAATATAATTTTTGTGATAATATTAACTTGCATCTTTTTGTTTTCAACAGTTAATATCCTTAATGATTGGTTCAAATACATTTTGTCTAGAAATATGTTACGAAGACTATACGACCTATGCTGAAAAACACAAAAAAGAAGTTTTACAGTCTTTGTTATATCTAAAAGAAAATCTTCCACGAACTATGGTTAACTTAATTTTAAGTCCAAGTAAGAAACACTAAGTATAACAAGTAATTTAAAATAATTTAATATACCCACTTAACATAAATAAAGTGGACATTCTTGGAACATTTAAGCGATTTTAATGAATGTAACAGATGGGCACTTTTAAACTATGTATAATTTGGTAGGTAATATCTACTTCTACTCTAACAAGTAAGCACAGTCACATTTTGTTCGAAAATTGGGCCATACATTTGCTACGGATATATTTCCACGGTCACGTATGGATTAAATTGAATTTTTTCACGTATAAAAATCTTGAAATAAATCTTCACTTTTATTCTGAAATAAAAAAAAATAAATATAGTTTTAAACTTTAAAAAATCATTTTTCTGTTTAAAAATTTTTTTTTCTTAAATACGTTAAAATTTTAATAATTTAAAATCGTCCATAACGACAATTATCAGCTTCGTGTAAATTATGAAATAATTATATTATCACAAATATCTAAAATAACTAGAATTATCAACATGTAGAATTCGCGGTCTTGTGTACGAAAAAAAAAAATAATAATAATGTTACGAATAATATTATCCGTTTCCTTGTTAACCAAATTAAGAACTGTGACTATATGTACTAATAAACTATACAGTCAGACGGCTACAAAGGGGATTTAAGGTCTTTAGAAACCTAATTTTGTGTATGTTTTTAGATTTAGAATTTGAATTAAATTTAAATAACCTGCCGCCTATTTGTTTCCTAACTCAAATCATGGAATGTCCGTGTTTGTTCGCTACGCAGTATAAACGTTATTTGCCCGATTATATCGAGGTAATGAAATCGTATCAAAAAGTCGAAAAGGAAATCGTAAGTACAAATGTATAATTAGTGTTATTATTAGTACTAGTATTAGCATAAGTAATAATTATAAAATAATATTTTTTCAAATCGAGATCGGTACATAGTGTGATAATTCTATTATCTATAGAAACGAATATACATAAAGATACTCTAATAATTATGCTGTATGCGTGATCAGTGTGCCGTACGATGTATCGATACATAGTATTTAAAACGGTGATATATTATAATATGAATGGTTTTACATATAGGTACTCTAATAATTATGTTACTGATGTGTCGATGAATCGTGTTAAATTTAAATAGTATTAAAAATGGTGATAAAAAATATTGTTAACGAAGCCAATATATTATTCGTTTAAAAAATACACTGGTTGGTATTATTATTATTTCCGGGGGCTATCGTAGGTATGTGTGTGTGTGTGTGTGTGTGTGTGTGTGTGTGTGTGTGTGTGTGTGTGGGTGGGTGTGTGTGAGGGTGGGTGTGTGTGTGTGTATGTGCGCGCATAATTAACAATCGTGATATTATCCTTAGTTTAAAACTGTTGGTCGATGATAACAGTGGTTATAATAATTATATTTTCGTTGACAAAAATCTATGTACAGGAAGACGACGACGATTATATAATATCTATGAAAGTACGTATAATATTTTTGTACAGGCACTTATAATTACGATGCAGACGAAAAGGGTGTACAGGATAGTGCGGGGTGGTTTAGGTTATATGACGGATATGATAACATTAGCATTTGCAGGAATGTATAGACCATCGACATTGCTAATAACCAATTTGTTTTTGTATTAATGTGCATAATAATATGTTGTTGTATAGATAATATTTAACATTGGGTATGGATAGAGTGTCGACGAGGTAAAGCGAGGAATATTATATTTATTAAATTTCGTAAGTTTTTCCGTTGTTTTCGTTTTTTCGCATTTAATAAATAAAACTCTTAAGAAAATAAAAAAAGACATCTTTGAAGTTTATTCCCACGCCGATTTCCTTTCAAAAAAGGTGCTACACATAGAAATCTAAGCAAGTATTCTGGTAGAAAAGTTGCGCACAGATAAAAAAAAAAATAAACATCTTTGTAAAACCATAAGCTTCTTCACTCCACTCAGAATCTAAAATATTTGTGTATTATCAACAGATTGTTTATATAGGAATACTCAGTGTTGAATTCCAGTATATGTTAGGGTGACGCGATAGCCCCCACCTTGAAATTTCGTTTGCCCCTTGTTTAATGTGGGTAAATTTATAATTAATTAAATAATTAAACAAATTTGACTGATCTTAGTAAGAGGGTAGATAAGGAAAAATAAAGATTATTACTATAATTTTAATAATACCCTCCTCCCTCAGAAAAATTGTCTGGATTCAAGACTGTGTATACTATAATCACGTGTGACTATATACTATACTACATGATTTTTTTATTTTTAGGTAGAACACGAAGAGTTAAAAAACAAAGAGGACTTTACGGTTATTCTTCAAACGTTTACAGAAAATTTTACGTTTCCGAATAATCAATTTAACATGTCCGATACGAGATACTTGGGATCGGACTGTTTTCATTTAAGCCAGAAAGGTTACGCTAGTCGTAAGAATATAAAATATAACGTTGACTTAAAATAAGAGGAATTTATGAACCAAAAACAGATTTTTGGAACATAAATTAATACCAATTGTAATCTATTTTTCGATTCTGAACATAGCAAAGAATGTATTGGTTTCACTATGTGCTGCTTTTTTTTGTTTTTTGTCTCTGATCAACTTTTTTACTAAAAATCTTGATTCAATCAAAAAATGATGAGAGAATTTTTTTGTTGAATATTTATCTAGTTAGAGACCAAGAAAGTCATTTTTTTTAATTTTCTTTGTAGATTTTTAAATAATTAAGCAAAACTGGAAAATACGTAAAAATTACAGCCAAATTTACAAAAATGATATTGTTATTATTTTAAATTTTGTTTTTTTTTTTTTTAATATACTTCAGTTACAAATATTTTTAGAGACTGGAAATTTCGATAAAACATATATTCGCTTTTTATAAACATGATAAAATTTTCAAAACGTTTGAGCCATTTTTTGAGTTATTAATAGACATTTTAATTTTACGAAATGTTTCATAATTTTTATTTGGTAGGTACTTTGTGGTTACATTCGTTAGACTACACTGCCATGCTTGAAAATTTGGTAAGATTTTCATTACAAGTCGTCCTTAGTAGTCAAAAACTTAGTGTAACCGAACTTCACTCCTAATCGTTAGTCGTTAGCAATCGTTTATTGTTAGTCACAGGTATAAAAACTAAATAAATGTATGTACCTCATGTTCCCAGCTACCCACTTACAACAGTAGCTGTATCCCTCCCCAGTGTCAGCTTCTTTTTGTCTTTAATTCGATAAAAAATATTCGTACAGACTTTAAATTATCATTCATATATGATTTATCTTTTCCAAGTGTGGTAAAAGTTTTAAAATTGTGTGGCGATTTTTGAGTAATTCATTTAATATTTTTTTTTACATTTTAGATTTTCTTTGGCAAAATTTAATGAATACATTTATTTGAACTAACTGAAATTCTTGGAAATTTAACATGATATATATTGTATGTATTTAGTGGTCAAGAATAAATAAAAAAAAATCGAATATTGTAAATATTACGGTATTTTAAAACATGAATATTGTACAATCGCATTTCGGATCAGAATTGTTTTTCACTATCAACGGTTTGTCATTCCTTACAGATATAAATCAAATCATTCTATGTATTCTCACCTACAATAGTCACACACCGTGTCCTTATAGTAGTAACTGACCTTAAATTAGTTACAATAACCATACAGCAGTAGTTAATGTACAAAATAGCTGATTAATTGTACGAACTATAATTTTAAATGTCTAGTTCTAGTATCTACTTTATCCAAGAAATATGGCTAACGATGTGTACTTTATCCGGACAATGTGCACATCAGCCACATTTTAGAATTAAGCCGTAAAATGTATAATATTTTTCAGTTGCAAATGCATTATGGAATAACATGTTGGAACCGGTTGGAAACAAGTCGAAGGGTTGGTCCGAAGAATTCAGTCGGTTTCTTTGTCCATCAGCCGAATTTCCGTATATCCGTACATGGAAAAACAGTTGACCGTGTTTAAATTTTAAATATTTAAGAACCAACCACCTCAAAAAATTGTCCTTGACTTACATTATAAGTACTTACTGTGACGAAAAAAATGATACCATCACTAAAATTCGTTTGTGACTATCCGTTCGCGAATTACGGTGATGTTTAACATTGCACGTGACGTCACGGATTCATATACATATATATATATATATTGAAAAAAAAATTCAAACATACATACACGTTCCTTTTTATATGTGATTACCGTATGGCAGTGAAATTGTTATTTACGTGGTTTTATAATATACTACTATATTTATAGTTATCTGGATATTTAATTGGGGTAAAATGTATGATAAGCATTAAATTATCTTTAATATACTTATAGTTATCAATAATTAAATATCATACATCTTAGGTGACATAATTTTAAAATTGACTTTAGGCAAGCTAAATTACGATTCAGACAGTCCACTGAGTGGCTGTGGCCACATATACCAGGTTATCCATTTAAATGGGTACACTCATTATCTCGGAAAGTATTAACTTTTTCCGAAATTTGTTTTTTATAAGATTTATGAAACAAGTTGATTTACAATTTTTTTTTTATATTATTTTTTGTCACTCTCATTTTGAGAGGTGAAACTACTACCTACTTTTGATTTTCAAATAGCAACCTATATTAAAAATTCCATAAATAGATCGAGTATTAATTAAAATAAATGTCAACACTAAAATTTATTTTAACTAAAAATCGATCTATTTATCGACTGCTTGTATTATGTGACGCAAATTTTCTATGTCTCGCGTTTGTAAGATGGAGACAGTAGAATTTGGTGTGGCGTCCAACCAAAAACGGATAAATATTTTCGTATTAAACGAATCTGTAACGTCACTCGTCATGTTAAAAATTACCATAACTAGCGGTTAATAAATGTATTATTTTTTGTTAAGCCAAAGAGTTAAACAAAAGTTTAACTCTAAATTTTTCAAAGACGTTTTTTAATTGATTAAATTATTGTTGTTACAATTTTTTTTTTTTTTTTTGAATAATTATGAAAATTTAATTGTATTCAGAATTTACTACCATGTCATTTTATTTAAATGCACATCGTAATTATCATGGTGCGCATATGTTTCACACTGTTTTTAATATTTGTACCTGCTAATGTGTAATCGTCGCAATAATTACAGTAAGTACATTTAATTTGTGAGATGTATCTAATACTTAATAGTTAGTTAATAGTTATTATACAGAGTGATTATTTTATCATGAACCGGTAGTTTTCTCGAAGGATTTTCAGTCAATTCGGTTTCTGTTTTTTTTTTTTTCTAATCATTATGGAATTGGTTAAGCTTTATTTTAAAAACATTTTAAATTTTTACCTCTACTCAATATACCTTAAATAAGTATAAAATTTATACCTACTTTGGTAATTCAAATAAGAACCCCCTTTTAGAAAACAGATTTGAATAGAGAATATTTTTCTAGAAATTTGTATATATATATAACACTAATATCAGATTTATCATTAATGAGTTATAACCATTTGAAATTTAGGCTAGAGGAGTAGGAAAGGATAATCATAAACGATCAGTGGTGCAACCAGGGAGGGGGATTGTGACCCTCCCCCTCCCCCGAAATATGTTTGTGAGTTTTTTTACGAATTCTACATAGTACGTAGGTAGTTGTATGATTTATATACCAATTTGAAACATAATGTATAAGTAATTGATAATAGCTACGGCATGGTTTCGGTTATAACTATAATTTAAGTAGCTACAAGTATAATAATAATAAAATAATATTATTATGTAATTAACTCAATGGTCTAAGGTAATGACTTTTTACAAATATGTATAGCGTTTGATTTTATGTTATCAGCGTGGTTTTTTTTTATCAACATAGATATCAGAATAACCAGATACTATAAATTATAAGTTTGTTTAATCTCATTAATCAGTTGAATGTTTCAATTTAATTATTAATTTTGAATTCAGCCACTTATTAAAGTATAATTTGTTTAAAACTATTATTACGAATTAAAAATTGTATTTAAAATGAACGAGAAAAGAAGAACTCAAAGTATTAAATACATAGTTAATAAGTTGTTTTCCAATATGTGTTGTATAAAAATGAAAAACAATTTAAAAATTTTACTCATAAACTTAATATAACCTTATTCTACCCACCCAAACACTATCCAAAATTGAATTTTTTTCAAATTCATAACCACCCTCCCCCCCCCGAAAAAGTTAAATCCTGGTTGCGTCACTGTAAATAATACATTTTTTATTAGTGTTATGCATATCAAAAACTCTAGAAAAATATTCTCCATTCAGATCTGTGTTCAAAAAGGGGCGTTCCTATTCGAAAAACAATAGTATATACTTATTTAAAGTTTATGGAGTAAGAGTAAAAATTACAAAATGGTTTTAAAATCAAAATTATCCGATTCCATAATGATTAAAAATAAACAGAAGTCAAATTCACTAAAAATCATCCGAGAAAATTGCTGGTTCATGATAAAAAAAATTACCGTGTATCATATTATATTTTCGATAAACAAAAAAAATAAATCGTTCAGAATAAAATATACAAGTAAGTTTCTTGGTGATTTTGTGTATGAACACGAAAAATATCGTAATTCGATTATTAAATTGTATTAAATACGCAAAAGTAAATAAAAACAAAAAACAGAAGGTAATAGAAACAATTCAAATTTATATAATAAATGTTCACATGCATTGTAGTTCAGCATTGCAGTATATTTTAATTTTTAATCAATTTCAAATTGTTTTCAATTTAATCGAAAAGGTCCTGTTATACGGTACGCACGATTTTATTATTATATTTTTATTTATTTATTTAACATTTTGCTTTTGTATTACACAAAACCATAGTATGAAATGGGGCTATGTCAATTGTGATTCATTATCGAATAGCAATAGCTACTGTAGATTATTAGGTGTTTATAAACGAGTACAGATCCCCAAACTTGAGGAATGGAGATGGAGATTCAGATATTTAATCTTCTTACCTGATGGTAAGAAAAATTCATCTGATGATGTGAATTTTTTGTTTTATTTTCAATCAATGACCTGATGATATGTTTAAAAGATGTGATATTTTATTTTCTATCATGAGTTTATTATTTATACGTATCGTAAACTTAATCGTTATAAAATTATAATATTATAATATACGAATATAAAAATAATATACGTATACTACGAAAAGTTAACACTGTTTCATGCATTCAAACCAGACAGTTTTTTTTACATCAAGCCGGATCATCTAGGTCCTATTTTAAATGTTGGATTTTGAAATTAAACCGAGAAAATCTGGGTACCAGCCATCTCGGATACTCGACATCGAGTCCGATATTGTCGACGAGTGGCTAAACAGGTTGACGACACCGGACGTGTTGCCTTCGCATCCATACGGCCAATGGTCAAGTTTTAGTTAATGGCCGATGGTTTGCACCAACTCATTTTTTACATGGGAAACTGATGGGTACTTGCATGGTCTTAGAAGATTAGGTCGAGAAACTTGCTTGTCAAACGCCATCAATCTGAGAAGCAGTTGTAGTACCTATTTTATCCGTTATGGCTTTATTTCATTAAAGCGTAACTTTGTTTTTTTTAAGGTTAAGTTGAAAAATCATAATTATAATTATTTAAATTAATAACTATTATTAATTACGTATATTGACATTTATTTACAAACAAGAAATATAAAAAATGCATTAAATGTTTAAAAAAAAAAAGAAAAACGTAAATAATCTCAATTAAGTACGGTTTGAAGCGCTCTCTGAAAAAAAATTAAATAAAACTGCCTCTCTACGTGACTGCAAAATGATATAGATGAGATAACCAGTATCCCGGCTATATCTTTTGAGACCGTGACACGCTGCACGCTAAGCTGCGATCGCGACTGGCTGATGAGGTCTTTTACACGTCGGGTGTCCGCGAGACGCAGTTCGTCACCGATCTGGTGATATCACCCTGGTCTCTAGTGGTCCTCAAATATAGACAGCCCAGCATAACATACCAGCCGACCTAGTCGACCTAACCTACTGGTAATATGATCCCACGGTAAAGGACCACTATGATATTTCGAGTATAACTCAGGACTAGGAAATTAATACAAAAAGGACCTTAAGCAGTTATATAGTATATGCATTACGTATAATATATTATGCGTATGTCATATCATGTATAGCACATATGTATATCTATAACATTTAGCTTAGTTACAAACAATGCCAGAGCGATAAAGATATGCCCTTAATTAACCAGCAAAAAACCACCGGGTTTGGAATCTTTTCGTTCCTCACAATCTTCTAGTTTTAAAATAACATATCTTTGTCAAAAGCGGTTGGCCAGAACTTTCGAATTGGAGGTTTCGTGATAAATAAAGACTATATTTATTGAAAATTTAAGAGCGTCCCCGAAAACTTATCAAACCCAACAATATGTCAGGAAATCAATCATGACCCATGGGACAAGACTTCCAAAATGTTTTTTTTAAACCCACATTTGTTCATTAAAATATGTGCCTGCTATTGTTTATCAAGTGTTTACACTTCGGGCATTATACGCAATTTATTTTTTTTGTCAGTAGATTCGATTATTGAAAGTGTGTCTAATAGGTACATAACCCTGTGACTATAGTTTGTAACGGTAATTGTTGTAAAAACACGAGTATGTTATATAAATTTGTATTTAATAAATTAACAGAGACGAGTTACGGCGATGAGGGTGTAATATTATTATCGTGGAACGATAAAAAAAATAATAGTATGTGTATTTATTGGTATTTCCCCGGAGTGAGTGGTGGACTTGTAAAAGATAATTTTTTAAAATTGCTTCGAGTATAAAATACTGATAGACTTTATACAGGTACTGAAAAAGTATTCAAATATTTGTAGTTAAAGACTCAAATACTTTCTAAGTCAGCGACCAAAGCTGATTTCCGAGTTTTGGACAAGCAGCACCGATATCAGAGAGAAATTTAACGTGCGAAAATCACTAATTTTTCCGCAGTGGGTTATCCTGGAAAAAATAATTAATATTTTAAAAATGTAAACCGTATCTATACCATGTAGAGTAATTTAGTTTAAAAGAGAGCAAAACATATTTTCATGAACGTAATTCGCAGGGTTGAACTGAGAGGGGTTTTCAAACGGAGGAATAAATATGGTATATCCCCCTGACGGGGTTCGAGACCGTTATTAATTTTAACGGTTTCGGTGTCGGGTGTTTCAAATTGGTTTTTGAAATTTATCGGTTTCGGTTATAATTTTATAAACGATTTTTAAAATATTTCGGTATTGGTTCTATAAACAGATTTTAAATGAAATTTTTCGGTTTTCAGTTATTTTTTTCAGACTCTGAGCTGAGCGAGGAATAGATTGGTTTTGTAATGATGTTTATTATTATTTTATTAATTTTTATTTTTATCGGTGATCAACTTTTTTATCAGAAATATTACTCCGATTTTCAACTGAAGCACTTTTTACAAAAAGTAACTTTCTTACTTGAGTAATACTTTAAAGAGGCCATATTTTAATTTTTCTAGGGTTTTTCATAATAAATGGGAAAAAACGTAGAAAAAACGGGAAAATGTACAATATGTATTATTTTAAAACTATAAAGATTACAGCCTTTCAACGCATATGTAATATTTTATTAATTTAATTAGGTCACTGTAGTATAACCAGTAGTTACTAGTTTTTTGTTTTCATTGTTTAGCAATTATTTTTTATTATTATACTTATACTTTATGTTTAGGAGAATCTTCATATTTTTGATTAGATAAGTAGGTATTGAGCTCAACCATTAAATTTATATCATTACAAGTTATAACTTATAAGTTTAACCAAAATATTAAAGTATAAAGTACATTCAACTAATATTTAGGATTGAACATTCATATTTGTGTAAATTAACTACACTGTAGGTCCTATCTCCTATATATGTACTATTTAAATATGGAAAATACATAATATGTATTATCTAATAATATTATTATTAGATACGTGTGCACACTGCATATATTTTACTTTATCTCAAACCTCAATCTATAATAGAATATGGTATAGTGATATGATGAGGAGCTGCACAAACTTAAATAAACTTCATACTTACTATATGAATATTAGGTACAGGTACACAGAATCAGGGTTTGGAATATTAATTTAAAAAATAAATGCATTCACCTTCATTAATTTCAAAATTAAATGTATTTGCATTCGAAATAAATCTTTAAAAAAAAAAAATGCATTCAAATAAATAAAAAAGAAAACATTCATTCAAATAAAAATTAATTTAATTTTAATAAAATATAATGCCAAGTTTAACAAGTATTTTATAATACATTGTATGAACAGTACCTATGGACTAAGTAATGGCATTTGTACTGATTAATTCAAAAAAATGAATAATAAAAAACAACAATTTTTATATTGTATACAGGTACACAATATTTTAATATTTAATATTAAATTAAGTAAATGAGAAACAGTATTTTGTAATGGCCGATTTTACGGAGTCGTAGTTATATTTTAAAGGTCAGGTTTTGTTAATTTAACACTTAACGATTTAACATGTATTAATATATTATCAAATAATATTTGCTTCTGATATTATGCAGTTAAAAGTAAGTATCTGTAAAGATGTAAATATACTAAAAACTACCTATTCTTTATAAAACTGCAGGTTGAAATGTATAAATTTAAAATTTAACGATTTTGGTTTTGAAAATCGTTTTTAAATTGTTTAGTTTCGGTTAAGGTTTTGAAAACGGTTTTTGAAAAAATTCGGTTTCGGTTTCAGGTAAGTTTTAAGGTATGGAAAAACTACGGTTTTAACCGATTTTTCCATAACCTATATAATATTATGTACTGTATAATTAATTATTTATATATTTAAAATTAAAATAAAAAACTCATACTTCTTTTCTAAAACAATGGTTTTGGTAAGATAGTAATAAAGAAGGATGTAGAAAGTAATTTAATTTATATTTCACAACGATGATAAACCATTGCTGCGGATTAATTATTCTGAGGAATGTATTAATCAAAAATTATACAACTTTCAGTTTTTCCCATTAACTTTCCTTAAATACCTATTTACATAAAACTACAAAGAAAACTAAAAAATTACCTCTTTAATACACAAACTAGATCAAAATTTTTAAAAGAGTAAAGACTCTTTTAAAAGACTTTAAAAGGTTTTTCATTGGAAAAATTATTCAAAAGAAAAGTTATTTACAGGCCAAAAAATAAAACTAATTATAGTAAAATCAATACAACTCTCATTTCGCCAAAAAATTATTTAAAATAATATGAACATCCGCCTCGTTCCTCCCATTTCTCTAAATGACAATATAATTTGTCTGTCACTTGATTGTGTAACTTTTGAAGACCTCGCCACCGATTGGCATGCAAAGGGCCTCATAATAGGGTCACTATTATTTGTTCACATAATACAATGGTTTATACGAAAACAGGGTCTTGATAAAAAATTGTACTTTTTTCGAATTATACAGGGACAAAATTTTACATTATAAGGAATATTGATTTCAACAAAAACACGGAACCAGTAAAATATAAAGACTTCCTTTCAATTTTATTCAATAATAGTCAATAATTATTCCATTTATAGTTCACTATATATTATTAAGCCTCGTCAATCGTCATACATAGGAATCGAATACTCTCGTGTTATTCACAAGATCAACAAGTTGTTTATACTAATGGAAAATATGTATATTATATAGGCGATGAAAAAAAAGACGTGCTTCACACTTCACACAATTATAAGTTTTGCTTGGAAAATCAAACAATCGCCTTTTTAAAGTGCCGTTCCAGAGAAATTTCCTCTCAGAAAATGTATTATACTTGAAAATCGGAGCAAGATTTCTGGTAAAATTTCGAATACACAGTATAAAAAAAATGAATATGTTGACTTTAAGTAATGCGTAGGCCGTAGGTTCTAACCTGTGATCACCAATGTCGTTTTTACGGTTTTCTCCTTCTTTCATGGAGTCCTTAACTCCTCAGCCGCGGTCTGTCCAGAAACCGATTTGGCAACATCATGTGTCGTCGTCATAGTCGTTTTTACCGATTTCATTTGATTTCGTTTTTTTTACAGTCCTGCAAGGACACTGTTTCCCACCACCAACAAATATTAATAACAACATAATATTATAATACTGTAGCAAGTAACTAAACTGTTATTATGGCAAGCTTATTATTTATAATAATTTCTTATAATTTAACATCATTATGTTTTATTACACGCCTGATATATAGAAGCGGCAACCGTCTTGTTTGCGCGCACAGGTTTTCAGATATAAATGTCAGAATTAAATTTAATGATAGAACTACTTGTCTAATTTAAACGTATTTTAAAATTAAAGAATAAAAAGTAACATTTTTATAATTGATACAGGTACCAAATATAGTATTATCTTATCAACTTTACTAATCTCTAGGCCAACCTAATCAAAATCGCTGGGCGCAAAGTTTTTCATCGTATCGATGGCAGGGTTATTTTAAAAGTACTTTTCAATTCACCTAGCTTTCTGTACAATACAATCATTTATTATTTTTTAAATTTCATCATTTGTGATCCCATATCAATAAGTGATATTATTACGAATCGTTTAACTCGATTCAAATGAGTACGTTAGATTATTTATTTTTTCAAACACGTTAATTTAAAAGCATTGATTTGAATGTAGGTTTTTGTTTGACGAGGGAAAATTTTAGGATATTGAATAATACAAATACACATCAAAATATGCAACACGTCTGTGAAGGGATAACATAAGAATTTAGTGAAAATTGCAGGTTTCTACGATTATTTTTAATTACAATAAAAAATAATAATAATAATAATAACAAGAATCGTTATTGCGTAAATATTACCTTATTAATGACCTTATTATCAGTTTTTCTCCATTATTAAGAAAACTACCGGGCAATTGAAAAAATCAAAAGATCCCCTCACCATTTTAGTAAATACGAGTGTACACAATTACTAGAAACAACCCATGAAGTCCATGGTCGGAGTACGATTTCTGGTATGAAAGTTCTTTACAGACATCAAAAAAAAAAAAAAATTATAAATCACACATCATAATAAAACAGTAATCATACACTCCTGGCTAAAAAAATTACTTAAAAATATGAGTCTGCTCACTCGAAGTAATTTCGGTACAATTGCTACCGACCGAATTCGATAGTTTTGAATCGAATCGAAGACCGTATCGGAACGGTTTCCAACCAGCTTTTTTTTTTCACTCATTATACGGAACGAAATAATCTTGCGTGTAAACTATAAATTCAACATGTCGACATAACATAAGGACACGTTCCTCGGAACGAGCCGATTCGATTCATTACACAGACGTGACCTTTGACGATCTATTTGTATGATTCAACAATGTATACAATATGATATGACTAATATAATAATATGTTCGGATCGAAAACTGTAGGTGGTTTTTTTTTAAAAATTTTTTTCAGTTTTTTTTCTATGAACGCGTATGCCAAGATCGACCGTGAGTGAATTCGTTTCCACCGAAACAATATTAACCGTTTCCGTAAACAATTAAAAACAACTCCGTCTCTGCTAAAGTACGATTAAAAACATTTTTCAGTGGCGTAGCCGGAGAGAGTTCGAAGATTATACCGGATTAACCCATCCCCCTTCTGAAAATGAGTTCTTGACTCCTTTTTTTTAAGCGTTTACTATGTAATCATAACATGTTATTTGTTAGATAAAATCAAGTAATATTATAATACGCCGTTTATAGCAACGATAAAATATAAACAGATTTAAGAGAGCGTTACGTTTTATTGAAAATTGGATTTTTTTAATTGAACGAAAGGGTTGGGAAATCATATTGTATTAATGCAGAAACGGTTTTAGAAGGAATGTATTGGTTTTACTATAACGTTATTTTTCTCTGCTAAAAAATATATTGTTCCGGTTTTCTAGAGTAATTTTATTTAGTAGGTTGATTCTACAGGAAAGTAACGTTTTGATTTCCCATGTAGTTTTTTCAATAATTGAGAAAATTCGAGGGAAAACGTAGAAAAAACGAAAAAGTTTACAACAAAAACGATTTTATTATTTTCGTTTTTTATTTTTTGTTTAAATTTCGACAGCAAATAATTGTAGAGACCTGATATTTTCACAGAATACTTCTATTGACCTTTTTCTAGACCTGGTCAAAACATTTTGACGATATTTTACTTGCTATTTATAAGACATTTTCATTTTATAATCTTAGATTCTGAGCGAAGCGAGATTTTTTGAAATTCTCATAATTGGTCATCTCTGGTAGAGCCTTAAATTTTTTGGATTTTATTAAACTGAACACTAAGTTTTTTACCTCTGTTAGCGTCCTCTACAGTTTGTATTTTGCTTTTACGTATTCCATCCTTCAATATGATGCTGTCGTTTAGCACCCCTAACTTACCAAGGATCAGTTACATTTTGAGCGTATTCAGCATACATTTTTCTCTTATGCCGCTTACAGGCTCAATCTGCCTCAGCCTCAATGCAACTACTCTGACATTAGCTTTTATCTCAATATCTCTTCTTTGTCCTCCCGTTGCACTTTTATTGACTCTCAATTTATTCTAGCTATTCTCAACAACTCTATTGATGCACCTTGTTTTCTCTCTCGCGTTTTAAATATTCAATATGTTCAATATTTGGTCCCAGCGCCCTTTTTTATTCCCACTCATTCCACCTCTTACAGCTAAAATTATCCAATGTATAGAATACTTAGAATGGTCTTCTCGTTGTTTACTTACTAAAATCGGTGGATTTTACATACTTTATAATTTTACATTATTTTTATTAATCGTTATTGTTCTTTGTTGTTGTTATCTAATTACTGTCTTGTAACTAATATTAATTCCATGTATTCCATTGTAATTGCCGTATGACGTTTAAATAAATAAAAAAAAATAAATAAAATAATATTTGAGATAATAAGAAAAAAATTAGTTCTTTAGGTTAAAAAAAAAATTAAAAAATAAGGTTTCTGTACCCGTTTTATCTATTTTTTGTCATTATTTATTTTTATTACTTTAATCTTTTAATATTTTTAAAACAATCGTTGTTGTGAAAACGCATACAGTTGAAAAAGCGGTACTATTGACCGAGCTCCGGTCAGAATCATTTTTCGTTAGCAACAGTCAATCGTTGCGTACAGATATAAATTGTAAATTCCCCTCTACATCTTACGTTCCCAACTTCTCGCCTTCAATAGTGACCCGCCCGTTGTGCGAAGTATGTCCGTCTTTTTTTTTCTTTGTTTCGTTTCGAGCAGAAATGCTTGAAAAATGTACGCGAGGTTCATCATATTTTTTACTTGGTGGTAAGAAAAAATATAAATTAAAGCGTAGTAATTGATTTTGATAAGCGTTTTGAGTTTAAATCTTGACGAAAGTCGTAGAAATTATAACGATTATAACTGAACTTCGCTTTGGAATCGTTTTTCGTATGACCAACAATTTACCGTCGCTTATGGATATAAACTAAACCTGGCGTTTTAACTATTCCGCCGACTACCCGTGAACGATTATTTAACGATTACCGTAATAAATATTATCAGTGGGTACATCGGAATATAATATAATACGCGGCGATTGATAAATCGTACAATAATATTTTGTTTACGGTAACGATACCTGTGCAAAACGGCACATTCCCGTGGGCAAAACGAATTCGGAAACGTATCGCCGCGGTCTAAGGTCAGAACGGGCGCGCTGTAGCCGGAGAGACCGAACGCCCTCCACGTCGGCCGCGGTCTCATTTTGAGGTCGACCGGCTCTTGGACCGCGTAAATCGAATGCCGCTGCCGCCGCCTTGAACTTGTCACCGATGCCGTACGACGCGGTTTATGTTTTCGTCACCGGCGGAAATGGCAATCGGTCTGATCGCGGCACCCAGGACTGCTGCACCACCGGCAACATTATACCGTCGTGACCGCGGTCATTCATAATATTTCCGTCGCCGTTGTCTGTCGTGGTCGTCGTGACGTTCCCGCCGCCGTTCACTGGACATTATTGCGGCCCGCGACGAAATGACGGGCCAGCGGTTAATGCGAAAAGGTAAGCCGAACAATTACAATAAAATAATATTACGCGTGTACAATAACGACAGCGGCGTGCTGAACATTTTTCATACTCGAGGCGAGAAATAGGACCCGCCCGATCAAAACATGGATTTTTACGGATGTCCTATAATTACAGCTGCAAAAACATCATTTAGCTATATTGACTACATAATAATATAGGCTATCACATCCGTACGTAGGTATATTAATAATATATAACATACAAAACTAAAGGCATCTCTGATCTCTAAACTAGTCGATCTCGATCAACATTAAACATATTTGGTCATCCACTGACCCACCCATTTTAGCCATGAGACAATCGCCTCGAAAAAACTTACTTCGGCACGCCATTGAATAACGAAATTACGTGCGCACGATTGTTCCTCTCTCCGAGTTACCGCGGCTACAATATTATCGTGTCAATTTTTCCGGGAAAAAAAATAATGAATATACGCGTTTTTAGTCACTGGTCATTATAATATAACGTATTACGTACATACGTGACAGTTTTTTTTGGAAAAATAAAAATTAAAAAAAAAAAGAGACAAAACCGCTGATGGGTGTGCCGCTGTTGTCGGTGATGGGGAGTTGAAAGGGTATATAGAGCATATAGCGAGTATAAATGTTTATCTGTACACGCGACGATAAATCGTTGCTAACGAAATACGATTCTGGGCGGAGTTCGGTTAGACACGTTTAAAATGCCATAATTTTTACGATTTCCGTCAAAACTTAAGCTTAAAAAAAACATCTAAATTACATTAAATATATTTGTTTTATCGCTAAGTAAAACTTACGATAAACTTCGTGTAAAATATTTGAACATTTCTGTCCAAAAAAATTTTATCTATATAAATACTAAAAAAAAAACATCGAATATGTCAAACACCTATAAATAACTTAAAAATCGTCAAAAATTCATATTACTTACAGACTTCGTGTAAAAATTGTGCCGTACTTCGGTTTTTTCAGTAATTCATCAGTATGTTGTTATATATTGTATTGTGCGTTGTATGCGTATTTTCTACGTTTCTCTCTAAACAGTTATTAATGTTATAAGTTATTGAAGAATCAATTTCATTTTTAACATTCTGAATGTTAGTTTTCTCCATAACTTCTCTCAATTTTTTAATTAAAGTATGCTTTGTTTTGCAAATTTCTATCGTGGTATTCATGAGACTAAATACGCCACAAACAGAGACATTTCCTAAACTCTGCAAAATATTCGATTATAAATTCTTAATTTGTTTTTAAAATTATAAATATTTACGATTATTATGAAATAATAGTATACTAAGTACATTAAATTAAACGAATGAAATTTTGTTACAAACAACTTTTATTTACAAACCATGTTTTTTTGTTTATATTATCGAAAACCCCACACACTACGATTCGGAACGACAATTAGGTACACCGTGTTTAATTTCAAGCTTCGGCAGAAATTAAAACCTTATAAATAATTAAACCCTTCGTGATGTAAACTTTACCGTTTTTCCAAGGTTTTTTTTCTCCAATTTACTCAATTATTGAGAAAACCACGAGGAAAATTAAATAATAACCTTCCTATAGTACTACAACTAGATACATTTTGCTTTCCAAAAATATGCTACATTTGGAAATCGGAATTCTAATTCCAATACATCGTTGTTAAAAGATATATTAAACAAAAAATTTAAAGTCACAAATCACGGTAAAACCAACACAATCCTAGTTGCACTCGGAATATAACAGAAAAAAATAGAACTACACGGAGATGAGAAGGTTTTTAAATTATACATTATAATATGAAGAAACGTTAGATAAATATTGCCCAAAATTCTACTATAGGTAGTTACAGTTTACAGATACAACATACCTAACGATTATTTTTAATCATCAAACAAATCGCAAATCTCAATCACTGAAGGACGGATTAGTATAATGGCATGTACCTAACTGTGTCCACTGGTATACATATTATAAAAGGGGCTCTTTTTAATTTAAAAAATTCAAACAAACAGAATCAAAAATATTTCCCGAAATGGATCGATTTGTTTTAATAAAAAGGATAGCGTATGTATGCAGAATGATCAACATAACGTAAGAGTGTAAGACACTCATTAAAAAGAATTACTAAAGAATTAGTTTTTTTCATAATTTGGGTTTTAGGGATTATTTGTAAGTAATAATATCAGCTTTAAAACGTTACATCAGCGTTATTTTCTTGTGAAACCACAACCACTTTTAATTTCCAAAAACGATCTATATTCAAAATTCCATAAATAGATGACGGATGAGTTTAAATCAATTATGATGTTCAATATTTTATTTTCCGCCAACCTATTGTTGAGATATCCACTTTTAAGTGTCGGCAGAGACTGAGTATTGGAGCGTAACATTTTGAATTTGCTTGTTTCTTATAGTATTTAAAAAAAACAAAATACGAATAAAATCAAAGAATTATTACTTTCCGAGATAATAATTTTCTTACGTTATGTGTTGATCATTATGTAAACATTGTATTCACGTTTATACCTGGATATTTTGTTAGGTAAATTTTTTTCTGTAAAATATATCATTAGATACTAATAATAATGACACAGATGTTTTCTATCTATTATAATATTTATTTAATAATATCATAGTTTTCTTTGACAACGTGATTTTCTCGTGTTAACAACAATCAAATTTTAGGTTTCCAATTTCCTCAAAATTATAAGTGTAATATATGTATATAATTATGAAACCGTTGTCGAGTTAATTATAATTTAAAAAGTATATGTCTGTTAGATTTAAAATTATTAATAAATAAATAAAATATAAATTAAAATAATAAATACATTAAATAAATAATTAATTAAAATTAATTATTATAATAAATTAAATTATTAATAAATAATAAAAATAAATAAATACTTATTAAACTTAATATAAATTAATGTTTAAAACAATTTATACGCATTTGTTATACCGAATGTAAATGTAATAATTAAATTAAACACTAAACAAAAAAAGTGTACTAATTAGTCGTATTATTATTTGCATTATCTCAGCGAACACGCGCAAAATTTTTTTTACATCAGGTTGCTTTTTTTTAATAATTTTATGATAAAAACATAAGGTATATATGGTCTAATATCATGTCTTTAGTATTCCAACGCAAACTCGAGTAATGCCATTAATAGTATTTTATTTAGATAACATTTTGTGGTTTTCGAATTTGAGTGCATATTTTATTGATAACACTGTTGCTGATAACTTCCGTTGCAAGTGATAACAAATTCGTTGGCAACACGCATAGTAAACGAAAACCCATCACGTCACTTTTCGATAAAATAAAAAAAAAAAATGTAGGTAATCCGTTTTAAAACTTCAAAACGTGATTTTTGTTCATTTTAATTTTATGCCTGAACATATTATAGGACAAACAAATTAAAAGTAATTTAAATATTATTTAAACACTTAAATGCCAATAAACTGTGCGATATAATACCGCGGTTGTATTTAAGTTTATTAAGAATTTAATTTCGTTTCGTAGTAAGACTAATATATACGAACTTTGAGATAACAGGCAGTTTTAAATACGTTTCTTAACGGAAACATAATAATGAGACTCCGTAAAGAAAAGTACCGTATATGTTTACCGTAGGTTTTCGAAAAATAATTAAAAAAATGGATTCATTTTTATGTAAATTTGATTCATTATTATAAAATACATTGTTCTATAATAGATTCGCGAAAAAAATGTACTATAATGCGATATGTTTGATGTATCCATTTAAGTCCGTCTATATTTAGTGCCTACTACACTTGATATTTCGAAAAGTACGTGTACTTGGTTGATGGAAATAACAAAATTTCGACATCGAAATTTATTTATTTAAAAAATAAAAAAATCTTCATCTATTTATGCAATTTTTAATACAGGTTGCAGTATAAAAATAAAAAGTGGATAGTGGTTTCACTCCGAACAAATAATGCTGACAAATAATAGCCGAAATGTAACGTTTTAGAATTGTTTGTTTTTATAATTTATTGGAAAACAAAAATTGCAAAAAAGGTAAATACCTTTCGAAATATCAAGTGCGTCATCACGCTTAAACGGATCATTTGATGTATTCGAAACGATGGTGGGTAATAAAATTAAAGATATTTCGAATCTAATTAAAGAATCTCGTGGTAAATAAAATTACAGTAATAATATATATTTAATTTTTTTTAATTTGTTTTTTTAATTCTAGTTAGATACCCGCCTCTAATTTTAAGTAATTATTCGAAAGTGTATACAATTGGCATTACGTATGTAGGTGTTTTGTTGTATTTTATTATAGATGTAATATGTACCCACAATAAAAAGTTTCCTAATCGGAATAATATTATTTTATTATTATAACACTTTCGTCATTTTGGTCGTTTATTTTTTATTATGTATCTCGATAAATAATATAAGAAAAAAATCCGCCCAACAAACTTCAAAAAACTAAGAATTCGTTAAAAAATCCGTTAAAGAATCAAATATATACACACCGACGGTATTTTATATTTTATTTATAGTTTAAACTAAAAAAAAAAAAATAAAATAAAAACGTTGAACTATCGCGTGTTTAAATTAGTATTTTTTATCGTCTCCTCCACTAACTATAATAACAGATAATTTATATAGCGTACGTAGTATACATTATTGCACTGAATACAAAAAAAAAAAATTAAGCAACGTCGTAGTGGCATTTTGTTATTATAATATTATAATGTTAATGTACCAATACATATTATACTATAATAATAATAAACGAATTGATTAAGTATATGAGTACCCGTCGGCGTTTTAAATTCGAGAATAAACTATAAGACGTGAGAACTAATGATAAAGGATAATTAGTATTCGATAATTGTTACGTGTGCATAAAATAATTGTATGTTCATTGTGTGTTAAAAAAACTAACGTTTTATTGGTAAGACGAAAACAAGTTGTGAACAAAAAAAAAAAGAGTTGACACTGCGACACTGCCGACTGGTGCGGTTTTCGTCAATTATCTTGGGACACTGCCTTTATTATACACATTTATTTCGCAGGTCTAAAAAAAGTTATACTAAAAGGGTGTACATCAATTGCATCAGATTATCTTTACATAACAAAAATAATAAATTAATTGTTAAAAAAACGGACACACTTTGCACGTAGGTGGGCCCCTGTTGTAGATTGGAAGTTGGGAAGGTACAGCATACAGACGGGAATTCAACGCATATCTGTAAGCAACGATTAACCATTGCTAACGAAAACGCGATTCTGAGCGGAGTTCAGTTGATAGTTTTGCTCTGTCAACAATATATATGTAATATTATGGTAAAATAATTACAAATGCGTTCAACATTTCTTGAACAATATTTTTTTTAATAATACCTACATTTCGTACATTTTCCTGTTTTTCCGGTTTTTCCGATATATTGAGAAAATCAAAAAACAACTTTCTTAATGTACCACCTCAGTCAGATTTCCTTTCAGAAAAAGGGCTACACTTAAAAATTGGAGCAATATTTCTGGTAAAAAAGTAGTTCACAGATGAAAAAAAATAATAATAATAAACTAAAATAAACATGTTAAAAGCTTTTTCGCTCCACTCAGAATCTAAAACGGTTTCGAATTATGACTGTACATAATGTTAATATTGTTTGAGTTTTATATTTCCGAAATTAATACTTTTGGAATATTCCTTATCAATACCCAGCTAATATCAAATATTTTCTCGAAACTGCGAAAATACGAACACGAGTGGCGAGCAAACAAAACGTTTAAAAACGCCGAATATTATTAAATATTTAACCATTATTAACTTATTGGTAAATACGAATTAGGTGTGTAATTTCAGTCAAACGTACGTGGTTAAAAACTAATTACGATTAGTTTTAAAATCAGGACGTTTAAATTTATTAACCAAATTACGACTATTATAATAGGGTTAGGGTTGTAAATCGAAAGTTCCGATGAAATCCATAGGAATGATGTGCCACTATGGATTTGGGGTAAATTACACGCGATGAGCGATAACTTAATCTTTATAATATTATGTACACACGGTGTTGTTTTGTTTTTAATAATTCTCAGTAAATGTCTGCTTCAAGCTCAAAACTAATATTGTTGTAATTATGATATGACGTTAAGCATTTTTTCCGTTAATATATGAAACTTCTCCGGGTCGCATAAACGGCATGTTTTTAGCGGCACGTATGACAAAATTGCCGTTTAGGAATAACGAGAAAGTTTACGTAAATAATGGTTTCATTTTGTTTCGTTGTTGTAATTCAGTTTAAAATATTCGTAGAGCCTTGACATTTTAACAAAAACCTTATATTTGTCTTTTTAAAAAGTGTTAAAATGTTCAAAACATTTTGGCGATTTTTAAGCTATTTATAAACATTTCAATTTTGCGAGTTTTTTTACGTAATATTTATTCGATAGTTATTCTATGGATAAAATTGTAATAATAAACAGAAATAACGGAAAATTTAACATGAGGTTTATTATATTATGTTGAACTTAGTGTCAAAGAAAAAAGTAGTAAAATTTAGTAATTTTTTTTTTGTAATTGTTTTAAGAACAAATTTCGAAGAAAATCGCAATTATTTCAAATCATGTATAAATGAACTTTGCTTAAAATAATTTTTCATTAGCAATGGTTTTTACAGATATAAATTAAATAACTTTATGTATCCTAGCTTCCCAACGTCCCACCAACAATAATGACGCACCCATTATCAGTATCAGCTCTTTTTATTTTATTTGTTATATTATTATTTTCGATAGCGGCCGGTATGGTGATAATTTTATGGTGTTTTACGATGTCTTCGACGTGGCAATCGAACTTTCGAATACCGAAATGGATGCTTCACATTCCCGACGAAAACCTGACAGATGTACCGAAAACCTTGGTACAGCTAGATAAACCCATATACTATCCCATAAGACTATTTATGCAAACTATGTTCAGCTCACAGCGCCAACTAGACAAATATCGGATGTTACAGGTTCGTAGCAGCAGCTAGTGTTCTATCTAATCGCGGCGTCCGTACGTACCCATGCCTACGCGCTTAATTAATTTGTTGGTGTTTTTTGGACCACTAGAAAACCCAAAGACGAGTGTTAAAGTCTACCGAGTTCTTTTGTGATACTAACGGTATGAGATCTCCAACTCGGCCAACAAGCGCACACAAAGTTAGACCTGGAGACGTGGATATCGTTGGCAGTATCGGCGATTCGTTAATGGCAGGAACTGGGAGCCTGTCGAATATCTTACCGCAATTGGCTGTCGATCATCGCGGATTATCGTGGACATCCGGTACGATTTTATTTTATTTCAATCGTCATATTATTATATTTATTCGAGTAAAATTGAATCAAAAAACTCAAAAAAGATATAATAATATACCAAGCGCATTTTTTTACGTGATCCAGCAATTTTCTATACGACGATTTTGATGAATACCAATTTTTGATTTTTTTTTCTCTGTCATTATGCAGAATCGTTTAATGGTCTTATGTATAATATTTTGTTAAAAATTATACCCAATTCCGTACACCATAAATTCATTGAAATTCATTCAAATCAATTCATTGAAAGGGAGAAAAGCTTAAGTCATCTAAAAGTTAAACAGTATACTTACGTGAAAAATCACATGATTTCCTTAATCAAGTCGAAGTATTATAAATTAATATTATTATGTATAGGTAAAAGTGAAATATGAACCAAATACTTCATAATTATTAATATAAATTTTAATTCCGATATTTAAATAATAATTGTGACATATTTACGTGCAACGTAATAACTACTGCATTGTGACGTTCCATTAGTAGAGTATAAGTGATTGTATAAATCACGAAACAGTTTCTGCTGAATTGTGAATATTTCTTTGTTAATACAATTTATTTACTCGAAACTTTTTAACAATGTGCAGGTGGACAAGGTACGTGGAAAGAATTTTTAACAATACCAAACATTTTGAAAGTCTTTAATCCAAAACTAGTCGGTTATTCGTACGGCGATTCGTTAGCCGTACAAAGTTTTTCTCAATTTAATGTCGCCGAACCAGGCGCTATGAGTAGAGACTTGCCGTTTATGACAAAAGAATTGGTGAAACGAATCAAAGCGGATAAAAGGGTTAATCTAAACGAAGACTGGAAGGTAAAACAATAATATATCGCGTTTGATTAATGAAAAAGCGTGAAAATGATGAAAACTCTATAATAGTAATAAATACTAAAAATTGATTTAAACATCGTTCATAGCCTTCACACATATCGTTATTTTAATATTATATAAACCAGTGTACTATTTTATTGTCGACAGTTGATATCCATAATGATGGGCTCGAATACATTTTGTCTAGAATTATGTTACGAAGACTATACGACCTATGCTGAAAAACACAGACAAGAACTATTAAAGGCATTATTATACATAAAAGAAAATCTCCCGCGGACAATTGTTAATTTAGTTCTAAGTCCCAGTAAGTGAAATTTAATGTTACGATTCGAATGGATGTTATTAATAAGGTGTAATATGCGCATTTATATCACAACTACATATACTTATAGTCTTATAATAATTACACCTACAGACACACGCTGATTAACAGATTTGTTCAAAAATGTATTTTAAAATATCTAGATAAAGGTAAATTAACGGAAATTTTTAACTGCAAATTAAAAAAGTTATTTTGTATATTATCTATCATAAAGACAAAAAATATTCGATTAAAATTGTACACGATCGTTATATTTTTTGATCGTGTTTCAATAAACATAAGTACCTAATATGAATAATTAGTATTTTAAAATTGTATTATAAGTTCAAAAAACAAACGGACATACTTCGTACAATGTGTGGGCCACTGTTATAGGTGAAAAGTTGGAAAGGTAGAGAGGAAATCTAAAGATTAATCATTGATAACGAAAAACGATTCTGAGCTGAGTTCAGTTATACATGTTTTGAAAAATGATAAAATTAAAAAAAAATTGATGAGCTATTAACAGACATTTTAATTTTGCGAATTTTGTACGTGATTTTTATTTGGTAGGTACTTTGTGGATACAGTTTTTAGACTAAACAGAAATGCTTAAAAATTTAGCAAGAGGTTCATAATAAATTATAAAAAAGTGTGAAATGTACTTTTTTTTTTTTAAATATTACTTTTTAACGTAGTTGTATATGAAATAAACGAATATAATCTAAATACTGTTTATAACCTGTTTTAGACTTAGAAATAATAGTCAATTTTACAAACCTACCGCCGATTTGTATTTTAATTAATATCATGGAATGTCCGTGTCTGTTCGCCACGCAATACAAACATCGTTTATCAGACTATATCGATGTGATGAACAAATTTCAAGACGTCGAAAAAGAAATCGTAAGTCTTCTAGTTTGGACACCAACTAACACGGTGCCCATTTTAATTTCCATGATGAGGGGGGGGTGTACATTTAAAAGCTAGTTTACCTAAAATGTAATATTTTCTACAGTTAAACCTGTCTTATAATTATAAGTATATATAATATTATGTTCAATATTCATACGAATTTGATTTTAATATCCTTCTATGTGTTAAAAAAAAATTACCAAGTATACAACTGGAATATCTAAAGTAAATGATTAATGTTTTTTGATTAAATAACGGATATTTAAGTTACTATGAAACAACAAATTATATTAAATTGGTTTTTATTAGATATTTTCAAAATGGCCACTTTCAATCGATTTTAATTTTAAATAATGTCAGCATATTAGTATTGCTAGTTGGCCTTTTTTTTTTTTTTCTATCATCTTTTTTTCTCTATCATAAATACCGATTGAATTATATAAACATGTTGCAGTTCTCTAGTGTTTTGTGCATATAGCGTTTTGGAAAAGTGGCATTTTTCGATTTTAAATATATTATGAATACATTTGATTACGCCTTGCTCTAGTTACAGTTTTTTTTTTTTTTTTGTGTGGGTCTGTAGTAACTTTTGAAATATCAATCAATATAATATGGCCGAAAACAATATTATTACGCTCCTATAAAGAAGACCGTATTAATAAGAGGACGGTATACATACACTTATTATACGTATTATGAACGCGCGACATACCAAAATGTTCATTCATCAGAATCATTTTCGTGCTTTTAGTTTTAACATTAGAGTAAATTAACATCCATTAAACTTAATGACAACAATAATATCTGCTTTTGTACTTTAAGTTTTTTTCTAATATTGTAATTTTTAAGCGAGATATAAGTATTTTTAAACTGTGATATTTTACACACTATAGCATCTCGCTTAAAAATTTAAATTACAAAACAAATGCATAATGAAACGTTCTCTAAAAATGAGAAATAATCATTGATTAACGACGATGACGATATTCTATGTTAAATAAACGTGTTCTAAATATGTTCTAAATTTTACAACCATATTGTGTCTTGTCCGCCGCCGAAAAGTTAAAAATATTTATGGCACATCGAATCAGTATAATATTATTGCGTGTATATAATAGATCAAATAACCAAATATTTATTTGTATACGTAAGTAACACTTATTTTTTCAGGTAGAGCACGAAGAACTGAAAAACAAAGATGACTTTACGGTGGTTCTCCAGACATTCACGGAGCGCTTGATATTTCCGAAAAATCGCCAAAACACCACGGATGTGTCGTACTTGTCGACCGACTGTTTTCATTTTAGCCAGAAAGGTTACGCTAGAGGTAAGAACAATGTAACCGCGTAATAAAAACCGTGTACAATTTTTATTTTGAATTAACAACTTATTTTCGTACGCTCGAAATAAATTAAGTCATAAACTACTCATCTATGTACACACACGAATTGCCATCTTCACTGCTGATGATTTTATTTTATGTTTGAAATAGATAAAACGTTCTGGTTTTTAGATAAAAAATCGTACGTGTATACATAGCATAGTTTATGAGTTAATTCCATGCCCGTTGTTACGAATACGAAACAGTAATAGACACCGGATGAAAAATGAAATTTAATTGAAGAGTTAATCATTTGTGATTTTTTTTTTTTTACAACACTCTTCCAGCCGCAAATGCGTTGTGGAACAACATGATGGAACCGGTTGGAAACAAATCAACCAACTGGTCCAAAGAATTCGATCGGTTTGTTTGTCCGACAGACGAATCTCCGTACATCCGCACGTGGAAAAACAGTATACTATAATATAACGTCGATCGGTTTTAAGTATTTTTTTCAACCAGAATGTATTATTTGTTTTAATATTCGTCCGAAACGGCTTGCCATATAAATATTCATATGTCAATTAAGATTACGATAATGATAACGATATGTGATAATAATTATAGTTTAGGTATATAAAATTATATAGGTTAGGTTATAAGGTTTACGATTTGTTTACGTGATTTTATTGTGATTTATTTTGTTATGACTGTATAAAGACATGTATTTACGAAATTACCGATAGCTAATGCTACTGCCGATTCTGGAGCGCGTAAAAACTCGGAATATACAAGTCTGGACCGATATCAGATTTGTTCTTGCCGTATTTTTACGAATATCGAAATTTGAACCGTAAATCTAAAAAGTGGAATTTATTGTCATCCAATTACACTTGACTAACTACCCTGTGACGGCGTGATTTTGTCATAGGTAATAAAGATATGCTATCCTTGTCAGTGTTCCAAGATTGATTCATAAAATGAGGCGTTTTTTTTTCTTCTTTCATAGCTTTTATCAATGGTTATAACTGATAAATCGCCTCATCAATTTCCTCCCCTTTTATTGTCCCTCCAGAAACACCGTTCAACATACAATTGTTATATACAAGCGGCCTACTCATTTATTTATTATCTATGGGTTTCGCATAATAAATCTAAAGTTATTTTCGATCAAATTCCGGCATGATTATGCGAAGCTCGGGGGTGATGGAATGTCCGCACATCAAGCTTTAAACATTTTAACATCCAGATGTGTACATTCCAGGTTTTTATGTGTAAGTATACCCGTATACAACATGCCATTTTAGCGCGATTTGATCGCTCTTATTATTCGCTCCTCATCGTTCAATAGTTTCTGCGACCTAGTAACTACGTAAATTAAACCATCCATTGAAATACAACCAAGCGTTCACGATTTTCGGTCGCCAAACATAACATTCATTATAAAACCGACAATGAGTGAGCAATACAGTTTGATAATCCGTGAATATTTCTTACAAGCGAACAATTTGGACGACCCGATCTCTTTCGTTTGCGTCGCGAAAACAAGCCGCATAACTTTTATTGTCGTGTATTAGAATTAAATACTGTGTAAATTAGTCATTACTGCAGAACTGTATATAGTAAATAAAAACATTTTATTATTTTAAGTACTGAATTTGCCAATAAAAAAATCAAAATTAAAAAATATATCATTTTTTCATCGTTTCGAAATTATAAACTATAATATATTATAATATATATTTTTGTTCTAATAATTTCAAAATTGCACCGTTTGGTTTTAGTTTTTAATTTTAGCTTTAATATCTAAACTGTTAAATATGTTCATATTTTATACCCTAATTTTTTGTCTCCATCACAGTGGGATTTGCCGCCCGGTGTTTATTGTATATATAAATAAATAAATAAATAGTTTTTCCTACTATGCGAAAATTTGAATTATATTATTGATTTATTCGATCTAATTTATAACGTAACTTGAATAAAATTAATTTTTATTTTCTGCAAAATTGTTATTTTCATAGTGAAAATAATTGAACACAGGATCTGAGAATTTTTATGAAAATTAATTGATGATCGATGTTAAACACGAGAGTTCATTATCTAATATTTATTATTATCGTTTCGTCGTAACACAATAATAATATTCAAAACTGATTTTCAATATTTTACGCATCCAGCGATCGCCGGAAAATAACTTTTATATATTTGTACACTTAAAATATATTATTGATTAGTTCCTTACACGGGAAAATTCGATTTTCCGATTAAACTTTCATGTTTACCAAACAAAGTTTAATATTCTATCGTTATTTATTACAGAAGTCAAGTACAAATCAATCGTTTATATTGACGAATTGTATTAACATCAGATACCTACCACCTACCGCTCGTATTTCAGTAAAATTTCGAATATATCAAGTGCGGATTGTTTTCGATTTAGTCGAAAATGTTTTCTGACAACGATGCGCATTGCTTTTATTAACAACAAGATATAAATAACGCGATTATTTGTAATCTGCGAATTGCGATTCTAAATAGCAGTGATCGGCATTCTGAGGCTCCGGTTCGGCAAGTCGCTAATGGCTTTTTAGCATACAATCTGCGGCTCTTTAGGATATATGCATCAACATCAGGATAATATTATAAACGTCTGTATTTCTGGGTAAAATAATGCGATGTTTAATCGATAATAACCCCGCATTAAACGCTATCGTCCAATAATTTTGTTACGTCATGCGCACGGACAGAACCGTCTATTTATTTAACTGATGGGACGTAGTTGAAATTTTGTTCGTGTGGTTTCTGGCGATATGTCTACAAACAATATATGCGTAAAACACGAGTGGAAAATAGGGGATTTCGAAATGAATGGACTGATACCTAATATGGATTTGTCCGAAACGTTATGGGACAAGAGAAAATATCCTATTATTGTGGTGACGATATTTAAAATTGCTACTAACAAAAAAATAAAAGCTGTTCATGCCAATGTGTCTCACACTGAACATTGTGGTTTTGTAACTTTTTAAAAAAATTACTGTTTCTTGTGAAAAAAGTAGCCGACCCCTGCTATAATATATAACCGCAGTATAGGTATAAATAATCGGGAATTATGTAAATTTCGTTTGAATATCAAATAATGAACTGCCGATTGGGCATTTATAAATACGAATACACATCCCCAAATGTAACTTTGAAGATTTATCGTTTCTGTTTTTTTTTTTTTTTTGTTTATTTATTTATCACTGCCGTGCAAAACCGTAAAAATCGTATGCAGTATGTAAGTACACTGTACACTGTACGCAAGGCTCGACATTAACAAGTTCAAAATGTAAAATTTAAGTTAATTTTCTACATATTTTTAACGTTTGACTTTTTTTTTATTGACTTATCTAACTTTTAGTTTAATTTGATTATTTTTTTTAGTATTAAAGCAATTATATGGAGCGAATTTATTTTGAATTTATACAACACTGTAAGTTAGTTTCTAAAAATTGTTTTAATTTTAACACAATATTAAAGCTGTATTATTTTGGTTCCAAATTTTAAGGAAATATACTCATATATTGTATTCCCGGAACAAAGCTCCAAAATTTAACATTAACCGTCTCGTTAATTTCAAAATATCACTACCTAACTCTAGTTTTAATCGTTTCACTATACGACAATAACGATTTGCGAAATTTAACACAAAATAATACGCAAAATAATAAAACTAAGAAATCGCTATAATTACACTTTTAAATTGACTCGTAACCTGATTCTGTTAATTAATGAAACGATTAACTTAACCGAGTTAACAATACGCGTTAAATTGTTCACCGGTTAATATAATGTGAAGGCATTATATATTACATAACATATAGCATTAAGTCGAATAAATTACCGGTATCTATTATTAATACTTGACGGTATGCCCAGTCGAAGACGTTAATTTATACAAAATGTCGAGGAACAAACACGTATTTTTATGTACCAGTTGGATACCTAAAATAGTCAATAATAGCTATATAATACTATCGTTGACCTCATCGGGAGTTTTGTTGTTGTATTGTCCGTCAACTCGCTGATTATTTTTTTTTTATACATGTATTATCATGATTTTAAAACGCATCGTAATCGTTCAGCGTTTTAAACGTTCCATTAGTCCAATAGCCTATATATAATTGCATAATTATTCTCTACAGGTACGTAGTTATGTTATTACACACGTTTCATAAAGTTATTACGGTTACGGGTATACTATACAATTTATTAGAATATATATTCTTATATAAATTGTTCAACAATCACATCGACAAATTATTCGTTATTCTGTGTTCGTCGGACTGTATATTATTATATTTATGTGTCCGATAATACCGATATTTGATTTAAGTCATAATAACACACGAATCGTGTATTTATCATGTATCGTAAAATATATACATTGAATACAGGTATATACGAATAAAGTTCGTTACACCAATAAAAAAAAAAAAAACTTGAAAACTTTAACTGAATACTCGATTTTTCTATGGTTTCCTTATGTTAAAAATATTCTCTCGGTCTATATGGATATTAAAGTTAGCGACCCGAAATTCGACCCACTTCCCGTTATCTAATCGAGCTGAAAATTCGCGCACAACTTATTATTGGGTGACAATACAATACAAACAAACGAAAGAAACACGAACTTTGCAACGAATACGAAATTAAAATAATTTTAGCGGTTAGTAATATTCAGCAAAAAATAGTCGTTAAGACCTAAAACGTTCACACAAAATACTTACCAATGCGCGTTCTTAACGTCGTGCTATTTTCAAAGTACTGTGGAATTTGTTGAGTTATAAATAGCTGTTTGAAATTTTCGATTTGTCGTTTTTTTTTATGCGGTTAACATATTTTTTTTTAAATTTATTTTTATCAACGTTTTAAATTCAAATTAATATTAAAATTCGTTTAAAACACAAACTTGCAATCTAATTTCTAGTTACAAGTGAATTAAATGTTCAATTTAAATTTATCAAAATATCGTGTTTAATCTAACTATGGTCAGATTTGTTGCGTACAGATAATAATTAAATTACCCTATAAATCCTACGTTCCAAGCTTCTCGTATAGTCTACAGTGAGATGTATTTGGGATATTTTCCTTTAAAAATCTCGCGATATTTTTAATCTAAAAGTCATTGTTTTTTTCCGTTGCTACCTATACTAAGTCTTTAGACATCGTATTATTTGACCTTGGTCAAAATATATACACAAATAATAATTGTTATAAACATCACATGATGCAACTCACTTCTTCGATCTTTGTATTATTTTCTGACAATGACTGACTTTTTGGCCGAAACCGGTCGTAATAAAATCTTTATCTGTATGAGTAATAGCTGCACACTCATCCTCGGCTTTGCGTTATTGTTTTAAAACATTTATTTTGTAGGTACGTTTTTTTTTTTTTTTTTACTATGTGACTTTTATTATACCTACGAATTATATACCCCGTATAGGTCATACTACAAAGAATCAACGTATTATTATTATTATTATTATAAAGAGGAACAGAAATAGGAATGGCATATATATATACACTACTATAATAATATTTCGGTATACACCATACCTAATATTAATATTATTCAACCACTTTGGAACAGTATATCCTTAACGAATATCATTGAATTTTAAATTTTATACGAAAACGTCAACTTTTTTGTGTCTTAAATAAATTCATGATTATTTTCGTGATAACGCATTATAATTTTTTGTAGGCTACAACTCATTTGCGCATAAAAACACAACTCATTTATACAAAATTTTCGAACAATAAAAACCTTTTTTCAAAAAAATTTAACCACGTATAAGAGTGTACCTAACCGTACGGGTCCTACCCCAAAAATGCATGCATATTTTAAAACTTTTTTAATTTGGAGGTAGGTACGCAGGTTAGGGACAGTATCCGTTTGAATTAATTTTGAAGACCCATTTGGGCTAAAAAATACTACTTTTAAACAACCCGTTTGGATCAGAATTTTTCTTATATTAGTTCAACTGAACGTTTATTTAGCGAGTCTTTATAGAAATTTAAAAGTATTGGTCCAAACGCGTTTACTAAATCCTGGGTCAAACGGGCTGCAGTTTTATTAGTGGCCTAAACGTTCCTGGTCCAAACCTACTTCGCCCCATTTACGCACTAAAAACAGGCATAATATGAACTGATAAATAAACAAAAAACATGCAAATATGCATTCATTTTTTTTTAATTGCATATACTCTCGAAATTTAAAACTATTCAATATTATACGTTTTTCTATCCATGTGAAACAAATAGTGTACACTGTTGTTACGCCCTAATCGGAATCTGAACTAAAATGTATAAGAGATTTTTTATAACTTATAAAGTGTATCAATTAACAAATTATCAAATTTAACAAAAAGATTAGAAATATAGCAATAAATACGGTGTATCGTCCTCTTAACGCGATTACAACGTATTATACTGATAGATGATAAATGTTGAATGATGAGAAACTACGATTGTAAATAATCACTATATGATACCCTGTAATTTGTACACCCGAAATTGTAACTACAAGCAGGTTTCTATTGTTCAACATTTTGTGCGTAAATAAGTTGTAAATTTAAAAAATATACTAATATGTGCGGAAACGAGTCTCCATAGTGCGTTTTATCACTTTTCAAATATGTTGATTTCCGCGATTTATATGTTATCAATTTAATGTTTGTATTACTTATTAACTTGCAGCGTTATTGACGCATCTTAATTGTGTTATAATATTAGTATATTGTTTTGCATATTGGTAAATAACATTTTTACATGAACTCAACAGATTGCCTTTATCCGAGACACTGCGTTCGACCCGTTTTAGATTTTTTTTTTTTTTTTGTCCGACAAAAGTGTCAATTTGATTACTCTGGCCATTTCCGCGATCAGATTGGTTTTCCTATATTATACTGTAGCGGCAACAGTCATTAATTCAAGGTATATAGTATACAGCGTAATGTTGTTTTGTGAAAATGCCTAATAAATCGTGTACCTACCTACGTCTGACATTATTTTCTTAATTTTTCACTCTCACGACCGCCGCGGTCCGTTACAGATCAGTACACTGGACCCATCACTGATCAATGATAGTCACTATGAATTATTGATGTGCCGTCCAAGGTGCACGACCACAAGTAACACATTATTCAAGTTTTAGACTCTGGACGGTGTTTTCTTTCCATGCGATAGCGAATAGTTTTACGTAACACTCTGCAGCTGTAGTCAAATTGGAAATCGGTATTTAATACCTACGAAGTAACAAAAAGAGCGGTTGGTATACTAATAAATGCGTATACCTATTATGAAAAATTGTATGCACAAAATACATCCTTCAAAACAAAAACACAGGTGTATATCTAACGGCTAAAATAACTGCCCTGGTGAAACTATTATAAGTATAAAATCCCTTCGTATACTTAGTCGAAATCCCCGAGGAAACTCTACGAAACGGAGGATTTACGTTATTTCGACTATTACTATATATATATACGAATTTAGATTCACAGTATTATCGATGTGAAATCTTTAAGACTGTATAATATACAAAAATCTAACATAATTCACGCCACCACGAATACAATAATATGTTGGTCAAAGTTTTTTTAGCGTGATATAGGTACTATAATGTTCCGAACCCAGTACCCGTTGTCTTAGATTCTGGACGAAAAAAGATGTATTAGCTTTACCGTAGTAAGTTTTTCTTTTTTTCTGCCTGCGAGCAACTTTTCGGCCAGAAAACTCGCACTAGCCATTAACTGCAAGGATATTTTCTCAAAGAAAATATGATGTAGTTGGTGCATTAGCCAGGGTATTTTTCAATTTTTCTCATTCTTTTGAAGGAAACCCGAATAAAAAACCGGAATATTTACGCAACAACATAATCTGTTACTTTTTATGTTGTTGTATTTCAGTAAAAAAAATCACAGAAATTAAGAATTTCATCAAATACTTAGATGTATAATAACACTGTCTAAATGTGGTGTAATTTTCGAAATTGTTCACAATTCGAAGTAAGTATTCGAACAATAAATTTACCGCTCGGTGTTTGTATATCTACGAGAGCAGACCCCACGAAACTAATAACGCAATTTTCGAGCTCTAATAATGTAGGTACTGGAAAAAAAAAAATTGAAGGTGATGTTATATTGTATACACAATGTAAGTATGAAGGTAAAACGCATTGATGGTTTACGGTGTAATTTCACGCCCTTATTCAGAATAGATCTAAAATAATCGGATTATTTCTCCCGTCTTACACGTCGGGTTCAACAAAAAAATATCGAGAAAAACATTGGAAAAATGAATTTTAAACCCTCAAAATAAACTCCATTTTCAGAGATTATTAAGCTGACCGTTTTCACGGTTTTCACTTGTAAAATATTGGTAAATGATCGTTTAAGTCTATACCTATGGTATTATACCACAATCTACCTTTTGGGGTTTAGTACTGTAGTTACGTACCTATACTATTCATCGGTAAGTACCTACCTATATTCAGTCAGACATGCTGTTACTCTAATACTGTGATTATTTTGAAATTTTATTTACAATAAAAACATAAGATATTGTAAATTCATCGGTTGGTTTAAATATATTCGGAATGATTAGTTGTTCTAATATACTGGTATTATTCGTCGTCGATTCGCGATTCGATTTATTATCTACTAGTTGCATTACCCCACTTTGACAATTTTGTAACGTAAAATATTTTTAATATTATTTTATATTTCACTCAGTTTTTTTTTCATCCACGTTAATATGGTAATCCATAACAATAAATAAATAATACTTTTATATATTTTTATCTGCGTATTCGCAAATTATTTAAAAAATTAATAACCCGATTTTGAATACGTATTGGCGATGAATTATTATTAGGTATTAATTAATCCACTTGAACGCAATATTTTAGATTCTGAGTGAAGTGAAGAAGCTTATGGTTTTAAAAAAATTTGTTATCACTACTCTCTAAGGTACCTCCCTTTAGAAAAGTTGCTACACGTAAAAATCGGAGCAAGTCCACTGGTAGAAAAGTTGTCCACAAAAAAAAATAAAAAATAAATAATTAACATCTTTGTTAAACCATAAGATTTTTCGTTCTACTACTAATCTAAAATATTTATATTACATTTGAAATTTACATTATTTTAAATGTCCATGTCTAACTCTTCTAATATTCTGTTTATTTCATCTGTGCGAGTTTCATTATTTCCGAAAGTTGATTCATCATAATCTTCAGAATTTGATTCACTATAGACAAAAGGAATAAGCATGGCAACCATTTTTTTTTATTGTATGGACATTATAGATCTACGATTATTAATTCAAATTATGGTATAATTCTATGTAAACATGGTTAATTTATTTATTCACTACATAGTATATAAAAATGTATAATGAGTGTACATCATTAAAAATATTCTAATAGTTGATAGAAATGACAATGTATTTACTGAGATACATAAATTTCAAAGTATGAAATACGTATTACAAAAGCTATAAAATAATATGTCTACTGTATAAAATATTAAATTAACTTTTAACTTACCTTTAATGATTTCCCGTATGTTTTATATCGATACAATGAAAAAAACTATGAACTAAACCATAATACAAAATTGGAAAATGGAAAATCGTGTATGTAACGGTTAACTGAGAAATTTTAATTTGATTATTGTTGTAAATCAATCTAATATCACTTAAATGCATGGAATATATTTTTCTCGAATCACAAGTTATATAACCAATGCATACAGCAACACAATAACTAATATCACTTAAATAATATTATATTTAATATAATATTATAATTAAAAGATGACACATCTCATAAGATATATTACCTATTTAAAGATATGATATATAGGTACCATATATTGTGTTGTTGACAAGCAATACTATCAATTGAACTCCGCTCAGAATCGTTTTTTCGTAAGAAATGGTTTATCGTTAACTTATAGGTATACATAATTTTATCTATAACAGTGGCTGCACCCGTCCCCATTATCCTAGGACGATTTTTTTAAAATTCTGTATTATAACACATTTCGAGTATTAGAGAAACCACCATTCTTAATTTCAAGTTCGTACATTGTATAGTTTTTTTAAAAATAACGATCAGTGAGTGGGTAGTATTTGGCAAAATATTAACAACAAATCAAAATTACAATGAAGATTAAGAAAAAATATTCAGTAGATACCAAATATACGTTTTGACCTAATCCCGGAAAAAAACCCCGAAAAAAAAATCCTTAAGAAAAAAATTCCTGCAAATAAATCCCCAAAGCAACTATACTGTCAAAATTATATGTACATAAAAAAAAAAAATTGAATATAATTTAATCATTAATAGTTTGAGTGTATATTGTGCACACAGTTGTCAAAAAAAAAAAAAATAATAATAATAAATAATTTAAAAAAAATATAATATTATATGTAAGTATAATCATTAAAATATATTTTTAAACATATTTCCTTGTGTGGATTTAGTTATGTCTATAGTTACACAATCGCACATTTCGAAATTACTCAACAGGAACTAAAGAAGTACTAACCGTAATACCTATATAATAACTAATAACGTATAGATACCAAATATGTATGTCTAAATAATTTTTATCTAATGTATTTTCATAATTCTACAATTTATAGCACTGAACAACTGATTTTAGTTATTTGGCAACTAAAATAGTTATACGGGTTTCCCTTGAGAGAGTAGATAGTACAGTTATATTCAAAAAATTATTTTTTTGGAATATTTGGTGTTTTGTTTATAAATGTATGAACTAAAAAACCATGATGACAATGATTAGACGATAATTTATACATACACGTATAAATAAAATTAAAGTAGGTAGGTTATGTAGGTAGGTAAGTAGGTAGGTATATCTGTAAACTTTTTTAAATCTTACTGTTATTGATAGTATAGTTGTTTTGGGAATTTATTTGCAGAGATTTTTTTCCGGAAATTTTTTTTTCGGACTACCGATTTGACCATAGATACCACACAATCAACAAAATTAATAATATTTACTTTGTTACCAAGGCAACCCAATCAACAAAAATTATACTGCAAACTCCCTGTGTCAGCTATTATTTAGGGCAGTGGTTTTCAACCTAAGCGTCGTGGTCCCCGGGGGCGTCGTGTTTTATTATTAAGAGAGCCGCGTCTGTAGTAATAATATAGTAAATTTGTTTTTTATTATTATTTTTTTTTTTTTATATATATAATATTATTATTATTCGTAAAGAAGCCGCTAATATCGTTTTCAAAATCAGAAGAGCCGTGAATCTGAAAAGATTGAAAACCACTGATTTAGGGGTTGAGATTTAGATATTTTAATAGCTAAAACCTTCTCCAGACCACGTGGAACATTTTGCAAAAAAACTCCGTTAAAATCGATCCAGTAGTTGTTAAGCCTATGAAGGACATACAGACAGACCGACATTAACTTTAGATTTTGAATGGAGCAAGGAAGCTTATAGTTTTACAAAGATGTTTAAGGAATATCTTATTTTGAGCGTATTTTATCAAAATCAGTACCGTTTCGGCGCGCGCATGCGTAATAAAACTTGAGACGTCCCGGTTCGGTCGGCCTTGTTTGAGAGAACCGACCCGAGCGCCCAGCTGACTACCCGCCTAGGAGCAAGGTCCGAAGACTGGAGTCCTAGGATTTTTGCGAGGTGGGAAGAGAGAAAGGAGAATCTAAATAAATAAACACGTGTTTTCTTTTGGGGAAAATATAGAATTATTTGATTAACTTATCAATCAAAAAGTAAAATTAAGTTAATGCAACAGAAAAGCACAGAGGTATAAAAACTGTCACCCTAAGAAAAAATGAATAGAAGGTACAATTCTGACATAGATTTATATATACATAGGATTATAGACAAATATCTCCAAACAACTTATATTTTAAATACATATATATTAACTGGGGCGTCAACCAGTCTTAAAATTGTTGTCCAGACGCAGGTAGTAACATAACGGAGAGCGTGCAGGCCGGGACTCATTAATATTTATTGATAACAATGAATCCACATCCACGTGTGTGTGCTGACCGATATGTGTATAGACCCAAACCGACCTCCACGTGGAACTTTCGTGGACCCAGTAGATATTGGGGAGACCCCGGCAGGAATGTGCGATTGCCAGGTCACATAAATTACCACCGGGAAGGGTAGCGGAAACGCTTTTTATTCCATATTGACTGGTCCGTGGGTTTTGGTGGCCCTACAGGTAAACTTTAACTGAACTACCTTAAAAACTAACTAACTAACGGAATATCGGCCAATTGTTAAATCACAAGTATATCACCATTCATCTCGCCCGAAGATGTCCGCCCAGCGGACCAGATCAGGACTCACTTCATCGGTTCGTTAGAGGCACCATCATGAAACGTGCCAAGGTACACGACCTTTTCTTGATGGCAAAATATGTGAATCCGTGCAATACACGGAAGTGTTTTATTAAGAGAATTGTATCGAAAGACCGTCCGGTGACAAAGTCTCGAGACGAGATGTAGACACGAAGAAGAAAAGGAACGAACAAAAAAAGAAAACTAGATAGCGGAGCGCAGAGACGTTTTTGGTGATAAGGAAAAACGTGATCTGATTGGCCGTTAACCCGTAATCAGGAATATAATTTTGTGAATTGCAAAAGATTTCGATCGTATAAACCTTTGCGCAAGGAGGAATTATTGTTCATGATGACATAACATATCCATCGACGCAAGTGTAATCTGTTAACCGGTCGACCATAGCGATTGTAGGTATGCTTGTCCTTTGATAACGGAAAATGGTCGTTTTTAGACGTTACAAACTTATTAAGTTACAACATAATAATTACGAGTAAGTATGTGTAATTTTACCATTATATTTATTACTTGACATTTTTTTCGATAAAACAGTAGTCGAATTTGTTCGCTTTTTAAAATGTTTTCGAAACTAAAACAAGTTATTTACTATTATGGAGACGAGACTTTAGATGACTCGAGCAAATTTTCAGAGAATTTAATAAATAATGCCGTTTGAATCTATATACAAATAAAAAAAAAAAGTGTTTTAATTTAATAAATTGTTAATTTTATTGGGGTGATTAAAATTATGATCAAAATATGTATTTTGGACCCCGGATACCCCGATGTTAACTATAAAAATAAACCGCACACGTGCACGTTTGCGAAATATGTCGCGTTACAATTTTCGTAAAACGGAAATATTTATATTCGAAATTGATTTGAATTGAATTATTCGAACGTACAAAATAATTTTAAACACATAACAACATTATTATACGGATTAAATCTGACACGCGTATAAACGCACTGTATTACAGCAAAGCTTCGCGAATTTCGTACAAATAATAATATTGGATTATTGTTCTCGGTAGATTGTTTCGCGAAAATATGTATTTGACTGCATTGTAAAATTGTTATAATATCCAGACGATAAGACGCAAATTATGCGCTCGCATAATATATGTGACGCGGTCAAAACCATTACGCGCGATGCTGCAGAGATTCGTGTGTAGGACGGTATTTATTTCATTAATATGCGCTCCGGGTGAAAATATTATTACTAGTCTAAGGTTATGTGCCGAAATGCGTAATCAAAGACGTTCGCGACGGATAAGAGTGCTTCGATGTAAATGTATACGGTTTTAGATTCCGAGCGTAGGCGCTACTGGTTACTCTTCATTTCTTCTTTCTTTGTTCTAGTCTGCGGACACGTTTTTTTTCCATTTAACTTGCTCAGATTTTGATTAAAAGGTAATTTTTCAATTTTTTTCAAAAGTTTTCTCATAAAAATTGAAAAACCCGAAAAAAATGGGAAAATGTAAGAAATATATTACTAAAATATTAACTTACTAAATAACGATTTTTTCAGAAATTTTCCCAGCAAATGTGAAAACCAGGATGAAACATGGAAAAACCGGGAAAAACGTAAGAAAATTGGGCAAATCGGTGCAACATTTAACAAATATTATTAAAAAAAATATCTAGAGCCTATTTAATTATTTTACTTTAATATGGCATATACATTGTTGATAAAACATTTATCAACTGAACTCCGCTCAGAATCGTTTTTTCTTAAGCAATGGTTTATCGTTGCTTACAGATATAGGTACATTAAATTCTTGTCTGTATCCTACCTTCCCAACTTCCCACCTACACCAGTAGCTGCACCTGTTTCCATTATCTTACCTTTCTTTATATATATATAGATTTTATAATTGACATATCATGCATGCTACAGAAACTTAAGCGATTGTTAAATTTCGTTTCAAATTTAAATACCAGTTGGCAGTGGCGAAAACAGAGGGGACGGGGGTTGTCATTACATCCATCCTCCCATTGGTGGGGGCTCACAGCCCTAACCTAATCTTACACACTTGTGATGTTGCTGATATTTAGTAGAAAACAGTATCACATAATAAAATTAAATATAATGAAATCAAGATGCCAATAAAATATGTATTCAAAAATAAAAAAATTTCACTAAGAATATTTTGAATAAAATATTATAAAACATAAAATTTAATCCTAAAGGTAGGTGTGGTAATGATATACTAAACAATTTGCCACAACACTTTATTTTTAATCACCAAAATCATTCAGCTATGTTAATTATTTAATTGTGTTAATCAATTAAATTAATTTTTTTAAGTTATTTTTTAGTTTATCTACTTTAGTTTTATATTATATTAAAAGTTACATGAATATGAATTGTTTAAATTGTTGAATTTTTGAATTATTTGATTAGTAGATATGTTATTAGCAACATCTGAATGGGTTCCATATAGAACTGAAAATTATTTCAGGTATAAATGACATTTCAATTTTATTGTAGTTACTAGTAGTTATACAAGTATCTTTGGATTGAATATCTTAATTATATAATTATAATTATATTATTATTATTATCATTATATTGTTATTAGGTATGTACAATTTTACCAAAGTTCTCTAATTAATTGGGAATCAAATATTGATGCAAATACTGGTTTTTTGGTAAAAGTATTGACTGTAATAAATAAATTATCAATTGAACATAAATACTGTTGTCTAATAATTAACTTGGTGATCAATTTGATGGGACAGAGTTAACCATAGGTAAAAAAGAAAGGTAAGATAATGAGGAGGGGTGCAGCAATTGGTGTAGGTGGGATAAAGGCGGGAATATAATTGATATCTGTAAACAATGATACACCATTACTTCCAAAAAACGATTCTGAGCAGAGTTTGGTTGATAGTGATGCTTTGTCAACAATATATATATATATGTGTGATTTTGTGGTAAAATAATTAAATAAGCTTTTTATATTTTCTTAAATACAATGTATTATCAATTTACTCAGATTTCCAACTATTTTTCCATGTTTTATCCGGGTTTTTACATTATCTAGAAAAACTTTTGAGAAAATCAAAAAATGACCTCCCTAAAGTACCTTGCTAGTAAAGTTTTCTTTTATAAACATTGCTGTCATTAAATGTTGGAGAAAAATTGCTGGTAGAAAAGTTGTTCACAGAAAAAAGGCCGTGATAAATTTTAACTAATACCTTCATTTCTTATATTTTCCCATTCTTTTTGGTTTATCAAATTTGATGAGAAAACCCCTGAGAAAATTAAAAAATTACTTTAATAAAGTATCTCCTGACCCTAATTTCCTTTCATAAAAAAAAAAAAAAAACATCTTTGTTAAAACATAAACTCCAATCAGAATTTAAAATATAAAATAGTTTTTTGTTAATAGTTTTTTATTGGTTTGTAGATAAAATAAGATCAACTATTCAATCACAACTTATTAAAATTGTTCTAACTCAATGTGAAAAATATTAAAATACAAATTATAAATGAAACATATGCAAAAAATATCTCAAAATGAAATAGTTACCTCAAATTAAATTTATAAATCAGTTATTACAAATACCTATTCATATTTAAGATTCAACCATAATATTATTTATTCTTTAAGTGGGTAATAGAAAATAAGATAAACATTTGTAACTTACTGTTATGAATGTAGATTGTACCTTTTATCATGATATGATTTCAAAATCCAATTTGTAACATCAAATAGGAATAGTGCAGATGGGTTATCCAGATTGCCAGTGGATATAGGAAAAGAATGTGGTGCTGGAGTGTCACATTTACATTATGTGGATGAAATGAAGGTTTTAAATGCAAGTTTAGTTCAGAAAGAGAATAATAATGATCCATTATTAAGTAAAGTGAAGTATTATATATCAAACGGTTGATCAGAAAAAGTCAACAAAGAATTAGAGGTGTTTAGACATAAACAAGAACTGCTGAGCTTAGAACAAAATACTATATTGTGGGGATACAGAATAGTAATACCAAAGAGCATACAAAATAAAATTCTGGAGAAGTTACACTATAATCACTTAGTGGTGGTTAAAATGAAATCGATTGCGAGAGGTCATTTATGGTGGTTAGGCATCGATAAAGATATTGAAAACATTGCCAGCAAATATGATGATTGCAATAAGGTTAGACCCATGCCAGGAAAAACAAGGGTACATACATGGAAGTGACCACAAAATCCTTGGCAAAGACTCCATGCAGACTTTTTAGGTCCATTTAAAGGACAGCTATTTTTAATTATAGAGGATGCATACTCAAAATGGCTAGAAGTATTTAAAGTGAAAGGAGCTCAATACTCAATAGATATATTTAGGAACTTGTTTGCAAGATATGGGTAACTTGAATACCTAGTAATAGATAATTTCTCACCTTTTACTTCTGTATATTTCCAACAGTTTTTAAGGGATAATGGAATAGGTCACAGGANACATACCACAACCAAATAAAGTCCGGCTAAGTTATTGTTAGGTAAGAACCTACGTTCTAGATTTGACATACTCAAGCCTAATATTAGATTAAGTGTCTCTGATAATCAGGAAAAACAATTGGAGGGTAACAACAGGGTTTTCCCTGTTGAGAGAGTTTGAAATAAATGAAATTGTACTAGTGAGGGAATATGCAACAAACACGTGGATTAGAGGAAAGATCAAACAAAGAGTAGGTAGTGTATTGTATTTAATCAAACTAGGAAACAGTATAGTACATAAGAGGCACATAGACCAATTAATAAAACTGAAGGATTAGAATGAAGCTAAAGATTTAGATAAAACTGAAAAGACTGAGGAAATTAAGGATATAGTTGAAACTGAGAACGCTGAGGAAGTAAGATATCCAAAAAGCATTAAAAAAACAATTGTTAAATTAGATTTAGAATAATAAAATATTTGTTTTTATTGAAATTTCATGTTAGTTGTAGGTTAAGTTTAGTTTTAGTTACGTTAGTTTGAATAGAAATTATATTATATAAAACTTAGACATGTAAAACCTATATTATGAATGTTCAATGTACATAGTATTTTAAAGGTAGAAGTGTTATGAATGTAGATTGTACCTTATCTAATTTATATTATCTATGTAACATTGTAATAATATGTGATAAGATTATGATAGTAGATTATGTAATGTGTGTTATACTGACACAGTCAATATTCACTATATAATGTTGTTTTAATAGTCAAAATATAAGAGTTAATAATATTAAAGTGAAACTGTAAATTGTATTATAACAAACACAGAACACTTACAAAGGCCATAGGAAAAAAAATCAAATATGACGTAAAAATGTTAGCATTAAATAAAATAAAAAATACATGCATGCTGATTCATTTAAGTGGGTACACTCATTTTCTTGGAAAGTATTAACTTTTTCCGGAATTTGTTTTCTAGAACATTTAAAAAACAAACACGTTAATACAAGCAGTTGATAGATCGAGTATTAGTTAAAATAAATATTAGTGTTGAAATTTTTGATTTTTGTCACATCATTGACCAGATATTCCACTTTTAAGTTTGGATTAAAGAAAATTAGAAGTGCGTTATTAACACACGACACAAATGATACTACACTACTCTCCTCCAACCCAAACTTAAAAGTTGAGTATCTCATAAACAGATTATCAAAAATACAGAAATCAAAAATGTCAACTAATAATCCATCAATTTATGGCATTTTTAATACAGGTAACCATTTGAAAATCAAAAATAGGTAGTTGTTTAACCAACAAAAATAACATAAATTAAAATTGTAGAGCGGCTTGTTACTTAATGTTAAATGAGTGTACTTAAATGAATCACCCAGTATATTATTATTCATCTTTTTTAAAAATCTCTGGATCTAAGATAAATTGAACTGATGTCGTAGTCACCATAACCGAGACGTTTTGCATCTTTGAAGACTTCATTGACAGAGGCTGAAACTGGGCACGGTGTTTGCAACATATCTGACCAATTTATTGATAAGTTTAAATCTTTTTGTAGATGTTTTAAAGTATGATCTTTTTGGAACTTATTATCGACAATTGCTGTTCCTTTTTCTAGCAATAGAGGGCAATTCAATGATGTGATTTTTAACATATCCATCATACTTTCTTTTAGCAACCCAGATCTAGTACCTAAAGCCATAGCTTCAGCCAATCCTCCAACAGATACTGCTTTCATCGTATTTAAAATCAAATTCATCTTAATAGCAGACCCAATGTCACCTAAATAACATGAACGTTTAGCAATGGCACAAAATACTGACTGACAATCATCAAATAATTCTTTATTTCCAGCAGCAAGGATAAGTAAATTCCCAGATTCTGCTTCAGTTATACTTCCTTGGATCATAGCTTCCATATAACGACCTTGCTTTTTTGTAACAGCCTCATTAATATCGTGCGATGTTTTTGGATCAATACCAGTCATTTCCACAAATGATTTCCCTTTCTTTATTTCAGCAAGTGTTCCACCGTTNCTTCAAATTGTTTATACTTCTCCTTAGATCGATTCCATAAAACCACTGAATGCCCAGAACTCATTAGATTTTTAACAATTCTAGAACCCATGTTACCCAATCCAATAAATCCAAATGTCATTTTGGGTGGAGAAGTATCTGTAAAAGAAATCTTTGATATGTCTCTTGGAGTAGATTGCGCCATTGTAACTTCAGGTCTGTCAATCAAAGTATTCTTTTTTCGTTGTGTACCCAAGTGGCTGTTTTTTAATCCAAGATTTGTAAGTATATATATTCTTCAGCAAGAAAATGAATTTAGGCGTGCTCTTTTTGATCAACCATTTGTGTCGTCTGAGTTAGAAGAAGACAGTGATTCTGAAATTAAAGTTTTAATTTTATTAAATAACTTTGTATGCTAATTTGTCAATTACCACAATATATTAGTTTTTAATAACTCCCCAAGTAGTGAGCTCAGTATGTTAAATTTGGGATAAATTGTCTGACATAATTCATAATACTTAATATGTTTGGTTCTGTAAGAATAAATTTAAATTAAATTTATTCATTTTGAGTTTTATTTGTCCAATGTTTTTACAAATAAAAATTTAACAGTTCATTTGTTAAACTATATACCTAATTGGAATTTAATCTGTAATCCTAAATGCATTAATCTTGAAAAGTATTAGAAATTAAATATCTTGGATTAATTCTTGATTATAAGCTATGAGACAGGTATATTAACTTTGTAAATAATAATTTATGTTAATTCTTCTATATATTTAAAAAATCTAGATATATATAAATAATTATTATACAATAATTATTTATTTATCACTAGTTCAATTTTATTGATCTTATGGTCTATCAATTTAGGAAAGAACCTATAATATCCATTTATCCAGATCAAATGTTAATCTTAATTATATTATAAAATATTTATTAAATTTACCTTTTAAAACATGCACTAGTATCATATATAAAGCACTGAATTTAAAAAACTTTAAATTTATTTATAGTTTTTTTGTTCTAATAGATTTATTTAAACATAAACATTCAATACAAATATTTGATCATAAATATAAAATTAGATTCAAATAAAATATTAATATATGCTTACCAAATTGTACTAAAGTTTTTGGTCAAAAAAGTATATTTTATATTGGCTTATATTTATGTACTTCATTTAATATTAATTTAACTACTTTCAAAAATTATATAAGAAAATTAGATTTAAATTGCATTTAATTTCAGTTATGAACTATTTCAAATAGGTCACTTATTGTCTTTTCTATTTTATTTATTATCTTTATTGGCCCCATGTTATAAGATTTGATGCCTCATTGATACTATATTATATTATTTGTGTCTAATTTTATTAAGTTTCCTTAGTCTATTTGTAATTGTAATTTTTATTTTTAATAATCATTTGTAACTATAGTTATTCTTACTTTACATTTTTTTCCTTATATGAACTTGCACTCCCAGTACCAGCTCTGCTTTTTGGAAGTGCTGCAATATTAATTTAGTTATAATTATTGTAAATATATAAATTTATTTATAATTTATATTCAATATGTAAATATATGTTATTGTTGCAATAAATAAATAAAAAAATATGCTCTGAAACTCTTGTTAGTTGGTATCACATAAAATATTGTTTTCTATATCTATGGTTGGTATAGCTAACTCTTTTATCACAGTTATTCTATCACTATCATTATTCTAAAATTACAGTACTAACTGGGTTAAGTTTATAACCACCTTATGATTTTATTTTAACTTTAGTTTTTATTATTTCCTTTTTATTTTTGTTAACCTTATTATACAACCTTAATAATAATATGTTAGTCTCTGTACCAAAATCTAATTAAAAATGTATTTCAATACCATTAACAAGAATAGTTTGAAATCGTTTTTTTCATTAATTTCATCATTTTTAATTTGATTTATTGAAAAAGTATAATTGTCATCATCATCACTATCTGATTCAATTTCTACCGTATTAATTATGTTTTGTTTGTAAGAAAACTTTTTGGTTATTTTGTTATTAAACTTTATTTTTACATACCGCATTTTTGGTGCAGAGTGAACTTTGATTTTACACAAATTAGAAATATGATTTAATAATTTACATTTATTAAAAGTCTTACCTGGTAAAGTTGTTGATGGTTGATGATACTATGTGTGTGTGGTGTTGACGTGTCCAACTTGTGTAATACATGTGTTTATTCATAATGTGTATATGATGAGTTATCACTGATAACAGAATACGTTTATGCAGCAGTGATACCACACATAGTATGTAAATGTTTTTTTAATTGCCAATTATGATATTATTTTTTGAGAAATCATCCGGTCTTGTCCATATTATAAATTCCCGTTTCCGCCAATATACCTGCTATGGTAACATTTTTATCGAGATTTTTAAAATACCATATCGTTGTGTATCAGTTTTTTGTAGTGATACATATAAAAAAAAAAAAACCAGCGCACATCAAAACATATGGCAATAAATTTGGATGTTCAATGAGAACGTTCTTTAGATAATATATTATCTATGTTCTGATTATGGTTATAGAACTACTGGTTTTTATCAATATAATAATATAACTAATAACTGTTATCTGATCTCATTTATTACCCACGTAATTTTGAAACTATTAATATAATTATTAATAATAATATTAATTCATTAATATTTCAATTTTAATTTTCTTATTTTATGTAATTCAACAATTTTAAAGTTCATAATGAAATTAGTTTCTTTTGAATTTTTGCTACATAAAAAACAATTTAACCATATTTATAACAGCAATAAAAGAAAATGAAATGGTCAGTATAAAACATTTCAACTTAGTCAGTGTTAGTGCACAGGGCATTATAATACTAATACTATGTCTTGATTAGAAATAATACTTAAATGTTCAATATTTCAGAAATATTGTCTAATTTATTTGGTCAAAGACTCAAAATGGCAATAAATAAAATGTATCTAATTTAATGTTATTAATAAGTTATTTTATTTTAAAATTACCATATTTCTCTATTGATTTTTCTTTTTGGAAGATTCTTACAAGTGTGGATTTCTATACCAAAACCAATCTCAGAGCCAGTGACGTACCTAGGTATTTGTGGTCCTTCGATGCAAATCGGTCTAGGTGCCCCATAAATATAAACGCAATTAGAGAGACTCCTTAATCACTATTAAGTCTCTTCAAACATTTTAGTTTTGGCTCTTCGTATAATCTCCAATGTAAATAAATAAACAAAATGTAAAATATGTAAACTATTATCGTTCTTTACTACGAAGGCTGATTTTTCTAGGTGAAGTAATTTAATTATTACATTTTTCTTATAACCTATAACTATCCCTGGAAATTCCTGAATATTTAGTAAAAAACCCCATCACAATCGGACAAACATAGGTATAGTAGCTCATAAAATACAAACAGACTGTCAAATTTTATATTTTATACAATAAATATTAAATTATAGGTATGGCTACAACATATTTTTTAAATTTAGATATAATTTAGTGTAAAAAAAAAGTCGAAAGATATCTATCACTAAAATCTTAATAAAGATAAAACGTCAAATTTTACTTTTGCTTTGTAAAAAAAAAAAATTATAATAATAACAAAATAATTAGAATCAAAATTATATTTTAGTTATAACCATAAGTTATAAATAAGTAGTATTAATTTGAGTTACCTAAGTTTAAAACCAGTGTTAGATAGTACATTTTTTTCCCTGCTTTTTTATTTGCAAAATTCTCAATTATATAATCAACATTTAGTTCTTCGGTGTGCTCTCTATACTTAAAATTAAAATATCATTGAGTCTTCTTTGAGATATTTTATTTCTTAAATACATTTTCACCATTTTTAATTTAGAAAATGATCGCTCAGCTGAAGCGACAGTTACAGGTATAGTTAAAAATATCGTACATGCAGTAATAGTATCTAGAAAGCTACTTGAAATAAAAAATAAATGAATGAATGCGTCATCTGGAGTATTATGATAAGTGTATTATATGACCGGTTCTGAATTAAAAATCCATCATCAGGTACATCACAGCCTAGATGTAAAACGCGACTCCAGGCGACATATTTATTTATTTATTTAATTTTTAATTTTTTATGTATACATTTTTTATCCATGTATTTATTTACGAGTATTTATCATTTTAATAATTGTGTTTTTACTTTATTATTTTATGATTAAAAATTGATTTAAAAGATAATATTTGTCGAGTAAAATCAATTATTAGTTCATCTTCATCAGTAAACCTACAGATTTCATTATTAAAACTGTGCAACTTTTCTGCCTTGTCGTTTTATCTGTGTGTGTTATCAGATATTAATTCTGTAGTTGATTTTTTATCATAATGAACCAAGTTGTCTACACTTTCAGGAAAACTACATAAATAAATACGTATAACGTAAAATGTAATAATTCATTGAATTGGTATTTTTCATAAAACACGAATAGTACTTAGGTATAGGTAAAATAAAAAAAAAAAAGAGCTGATAATGGGGACGAGTGTATCATTGTTGTAAGTGACAAGTTTCGAAGACACTAACAACAAAAAACCATTGCTAACGAAAAACAATTCGAAATACCGTAATATTTACAATTTTTGTCAATTTATAATTTCAAACACTTATAGAAAAATAAAAAAACACTATAATACTACATAACAATTAATTGTTTTTTTGACCACTAAGTACAACTTATAATAAACCTTGTATCAAATTTTAAAACATTTCTGTTTAGTTAAACAATTTTATTCATAGAATACCTTCCAAATAAAAATTACGTACAAATTCGCAAAATTAAAATATCTATAAATAGCTTAAAACAAAAAAATTGAGTGCAGCCACTGGTGTAGGTGGGAAGTTGGGAAGGTAGGATATAGACGGGAATTTAATGTATATTTTTGAGCAACAATAAACCATTGCTTACAAAAAAA